AATATAAAACTGATAATATAATGAAAATATACAAAAATAAAAATAAGGTAATATAATCCTTGGTTTTTAATAAAAGGAATAGATTTATTTTTAAAGAAATTATCATCAAAATGAGTATAATATAATATAATGAAATTAGAGATTTGAATAATATAATTAAAAAAGAGAATAGGAAGTATAGATCAGTAGAGCTTGTTTATTAGATGCTTCATTTCTATTATAAGTGGGGATGAACAGAGCATCTTTTTCCGCCAGTTTAGTCTATACTTTTTCTAGTCTTCGTTTCATCTTATATAAGATCTATATTAAATGGACATTATCAGCTCGGCTCTTTACAAATGCAGAGGATTCCAAAGTAGAGAAAGTAGATAAAGAGGAGTAAGACCCTGATTATTTCCCAGAGTTCATTGTAATGGTTTTCTATATCTTTTTTATTAAAAAAGAAATATAGAGATTATTATCAAATAATAATCTAGAAGGGGAAGAAGGGGAATAATAAAGGGTACTAGTAGTTTTTACAAATCCAAGAGAGATACTAATAGTATTATACTTGTAGCCAAATGAATTATACTGATTTTTACTATTACTAAAACTAAGAGTATTATTTTAATCTTTCTTTTTTAAAAGAACTATCATATCATTAAGGTTTTTAACAGAAATCTGAAATTATCGATTAATACGAATTCTTTACTTCTAGATAATATTAATATAGTCGGTATTAGTTTTAAAAAAGAGATTTGAATAGATTTAATAATTATTCCTAATTATAACTATAAATATTGATTTATAAATAATATAATCAAAAAGGTATAAACAGGATTCTGATTGTATACTTAGAATCTATAAGTGAAAAATTATATAGAATATTAAAAAAAGGATTATATATATAGATATTTGGAAGCTATAAGGGCTAGACCCAGAAAAATGAAAGAGTTCTAGAAATAAGCATTATATAATGCCTAGGTCTAGAACTATAGAGCTAGAGCTCTAAGTTATAAAAGGAAGATACAAAAGAGCTGTTATATTATATTATATATATAGTATAAGCCAGTAGGCGGAAGAGAGCCGTCTATTCCGTTATAATAGTATTAGTTACGGTATCGATATATCTATCTCTAATTCCTTCTATTAATATAATAAGAAATAGATATTTTCTTCTTTTCTCTTTTTATTTTTCTATTTCTTTTTCAAAATCTTCTTATAATAAAGGGTTTGAGTAGAGTAAATAGATAAATAAATAAATACTTATAAATATTCTAAAAAGTTTAGTTTATAAATACTAAGTAGAAGATATACAAATATCTAACTAATAACTAGCCTAGTAATTAGAGCACTTATTAAACTTATTATTTTGAATATTTCGATATTTAAGCGATAATATATTTGAATAAATATTAATACTAATCAACATTCAAGTAACTTGACTTTAAAATATCTATTTGAAAATTTGTTTAAAAAAGTAAACAAGCGAGTCTAATCGCTATCTCTATCTCTATATTTATTTATATTTCCAATCCCTTATTTATATATATATATATATATATATACTAAGTAATATATCCAATATCTTAGAAGTATCCGAGTGTTTGAAAATATACTATATAATATATATCCAATAAATTCTATACAATACAATACAATACTGTCGGAATATAGATTATACGATACTAGCGTATACGCTGGTTTAGCGCATACGCTAGTATGCTTATAAGGGCTCCCCCCCCCATAGCTTTCATAGAGAGTCGTCGTCAATAAGAGTACTATAGGAATAGCCATTATTGATCCGAACAACCCCACCATGGTGAACCAACAAATACAATACTCAGTACAATACAATAAAATACAATACAATAAAATACAATACAATAAAATACAATACACACAATAATCTATCTACACAAAACACAAACCTCCAATTCCAAAATTCCAAAATTCCAAGGTTCCAAATTCTTATTGAGTAATTATCACTAGTAATACTAGCAATCTAAATCTAACAATATTAGTATTAGTATTCCAACTAAAAGCACGAATTCGGCTAATACTTATCAATATCAATGTTCAAATAAAAGTTAATACCCAACCAGAACTACTGTCAAGTCTAGATGTATCTATATATTCAGGAATCAGAATCATTCGATGCACTTCACCATGCAAGTCTCCAAATATCTAGTTTAAGCACACCTCAACCTCATCCTCATCCTCATCTTAATCAATCTAAACCCTCCCCACCAAAAAAGTAAATCCTCCAATAATTACAGACAGAATATCCTACTCTATTCCCCTAGTATTCCTTCCATCTCCTCTATCCCAATCAAATTCAAACTAACCCAACTCATTTACCACAATATATATGTGCATATCCCAAAAGTCATACTGTTTACTAAATATTCCATGTATTCAAGTGTTTAAAGGCTAATGTGTTGGTATATAAGATCTTATATATATACTCGTACATACATATATATACACATACCATATCATAATACCATACCATACTATACTATACTATACTATACTATACTATACTATACTATACCATACTATTCATACCAAACTCAAACTCAAATTAGATTTCAACTTTCAACTTTCAAGATTCCAAAATCTTTCTTTACCAGATTCTCCAATTTCCATGATTGCATACCTAGTAGTTCCTTCCATATGCATTGCACAGATAGGATATATAGAGTACCGGTATAGGATCAAACTAGTTCTTTCTTTCCATGAAGGTTGTAACTTATTAATTAGTATCCGAATTCAGACCATTAAGTGTTGACTGAGAATCTGAGATAGATCGTTAATTATTTAGTGCCGGACTTGCATTAGCTTGTTTATTCAGTCACTGGAGATAATCACAAGCGTGCCATCAGATATTAAGAATAACCTTTGGCATTTTCATACATGGAAGGGATTCCTCACTTTCCCATCTATCATGCATATCACCCCTCCCCCAAACATATTCGCTAAACGATTGCCCCATCGATCAATGGGTGAGCCAGGGCCAGGGGCACTCGTTATCAATATTCGCTTGTTCCCACTGGAGAAATTCGCGGAAATCCTCCATTCATAGCTCTATTCCTAATCATCCATCCGTTTGCCCTTCCTTTCCATCCATCCATCAACCCATTCCCATATGCAATACCTAACATGAAAATATGAGTGGTATACCTCCCACAGCGCCATGTAATATGAGAAACCCAGATCCAGGCCCAGGTCCAGTCCAATACCAGATTCAACGACAGAACGCATTAAACCAACTACGGGGAAGTTACCGCTCGCCCCTAATTGCTAAGTAGCGACTCCAGATGCAAACGCAGAAAATCCACCAAACGTATTCCCCAATTCCGAAAAGAGCAACGCAAAAAAGCAAGATAACGCAAACCAAATCAAAGCCAGAACTGAGAAAGTAGATAGACTCCTTTACCAAAACACAATATGTACTCAAACACCATCATTATCATAAACAAAAAGCCGTGAGGTTTTCCCAGACTCTATCAATATCCTATTGCGCCCCCTGAGCAAATATCAACTTTCCCAACCTTTCAAGAAAGAAGAATAGAAATTGACCGCCCAGAATTCATGATGTCGTAACGTTCATTAACTCATTATGCGTGCATCTTAACACACTATTGTTCAAGTGTCTTAGAAGCGTGAAGTAAAACTTCGGCCCATCGATGGTCGGGGTGGTTGGTTCTTCAATGTATTTCGTGATTGTTGTTGTTGAGCTCCGGAACCAATCTTTGGAAAGCGCTGCGTGATATCGAAGCCTGTGTAGTCAGATAGATCTTCAGTGAGGAACTCAGAGTTGAAGAGGTCATCCTGAGGAAGATTGAAATTACCGAGGTTCAAGATTGGCGAATTGAATTTTAGGGGCGAGTTAATATTTTGTTTACATGGCGAATCAAAAAAGTTCAAACCTCCTTTCGTTGGGGAGGGAATTATTGAAGGTCCACCCAACGAAGGTGTAAGTTTGAGCATGGGTGTGGAGGTGACACTCTTATTCAAGTTGGAATTAGTCACATCGGACAAGATGTTTGCCGATGTCGATCGATCGATCCGAGATCTCTTGGCCGATCGCTTCTCTGGTGATCCATTACTTGTACCAGGAAACGATGCCTTGGCATCCTGGAATATATCAAAGTCCGGAACAAAATCCGTAAACAAGTAGGAGCTGCTGTCGAGATGGAAAGCGGGGCTCCATGCACTGTCCTCCAGAACAGTCAGACCACGGATTGGCGAGCCAACTAGTTCCCTGACCCTATCACGATGCATGCGAAGGTTCGTGTTTGGAGATATCGATGGCGGTGGTTTCACAGGAGCCTTTAGCTTGACGGCAGGAGTAAGAGGTGGAAGCATCTGATAGTTATCATGTGCTTGAGCTCGACGTAATGGGGATGATGATGGTGGAGCGAATTGATTCAAAGTCCTGCCTGTGCTGGGGCTGTCGTACGAGGAACCACGAAGACGAGCAATTTCCTCTTCAGCCCGGCCACGCTTAATCCTCGGTCGGTCAGCTTCAGATGTTAGCAACCGACTGACCCCGTTTGGCCGCATCGCTGAAGATTCAAGTGACGAGAAGTACCCACTATCATCCATGGACGCAAACTTTCGTTTGTGTGATCTAGTCTGTGATGAAGATGGAAAGCGTGGAACGGGAGGTGGCGTGTGATTTCGTCTCGGCGCATGGCGAGCTACTGGAGGAGAAGAATGCATCATCCTTGTTGGTGGGGATGATTGTATTTGTGGAGACGATGGAGGGGCATCTTCGTCCCCTTCTTCAACTTCTTGATTGAATTCTGATGCAGGAATTGTAGCATCTGAAGATAATTCCGGGATGGGAAGAAGTTCGTTGTCTCGCAAGGTATACGTTGACTTTGGTAACGATACATCTTGACTAGAAGAGGGTAGGTCTTTAAACATTGGCGTGGGTGGTGTGGGCTCTGGTGGATCGACGGGAGTAAGTGCTGTATTCAAGACCGGAAGGTTCTCATTTGGGCCTGCAGGTTTCCGTGTAGTCTTTTCCTTGATGAACTGACATTCCATTCCTTGTTGAATTGCCCAATAATTACCTTTTCCCGGATCATCCTTTGGCCGCTCCTGTTTTACGAAAGCCTTGTTAAGACTAAGATTGTGACGAATGCTGTTTTGCCAGCCAGCGTCCGCCGCACTGTAGAAGGTGTAGTTGTCGGAGATCCATTTGTAGATTTGCGCAAGAGTGAGGCGTCGGTTCGGAGCTCTTAAAATCGACATACCAATCAATTGAGCATAGCTGTGAGAAGGTTTAAAGCCATCATCGTGAATGGGTGGAAAGGAATCCGGTTCCGGGAGTTCTCGAGGTCCTGATACGTCAATCTCCTCCTCCGTCTTCAACTTCTTTTGAACCTTCGCTTCCTGAATGATGGCAGCCTCCATCAATGAGCGCTTCAGTGATGGTTTCTGACCATACAATCCTTCCAAGGAGAAGTTGCTGCTCGAAAAATCGTCGCGAAAATGTGGTTGCGGCTGCGACGAATACATAGGATGTGAATAGTTCTCTTTTTCTGAAGATTGAGTGTTCATAAAAGTCGTAAATAGTGCTTTTTGCGGGGCACTCTTATGTTTAGATTGAAAGGTTTGTTTCTTCGCAATCGAGTCGGTATTGTATCGCGATCCCGAAGGTGGTGGCATCGGTACCATATTTAATTTATTGCCGAATGGTGCTCTCGAAGGCGAACTTGATATTTGGACATGCGACTTGAGCGGTGAGTTTTTGCTGGGTCTATTCTGAGGTGGGTTGAATATAACGTTACGCTTCGAGCCTGTGTTCTTGATTGTTCTCAAGGGGGATGGCTTTTTTAGATTTGTAGAATTCTTCGTCGAAGGCATTGGCGCGCTATCATAAGATGTGACGGGGTCTTGGTAGATTTGCAGCGGCTGCTGTGAGTAACGCGACGAAGTCATTGTAGAGAGTCGACGACGCGCTGATAAGGAAGGTGACGATGATATCTATTCGATCAACGCGTGACCTGATGATGACGATGATGATGTGTTCCTGAATAGGTATCGATATGTTTGAAAAGCTGGAGCATTTGGTGTTAGCCTTATGGAAAATATGTAATTCTGGAGAAAAAAAAACGCTCGATGGGATAACGAGGACTATCTAAGGGCATGCATACCGGAAGTGGGTGCTCAGTGTGTGCTGTCTAGGATCGACGACGGATCGGATTGTGGAGCGAGATTACGGTGGATTCCAAGTTTGGAAAAGAGAGGACGCAAGGGGAGATGTGGTCTGGATCGATACTAAGATCAAATTGATTGCGAAGATTATCGGTACTTGTACTGTATGGTGGAGCGCAATGATTGAAAATTGAGACTGAAGCTTTTTTTGATGATATCAAAAAGGTGGTTTAAGGTGGAATCAGAAGCCAGATGTGTTGTTGTTGCGTGGGGGAAGATTGTAACACAGCAAATAGAAGGAAGAGAACGGAAGAAAGCGCAATAAATTGTACGAAGGCTGAAGCGGGGAGAGAAAGGATGGGAATTGTAAGACGGCGATATGACAATATGCCGAGCACGAGAAAAGAAGGTTATGTGGAAGCAAGGAAGTGATCCGAAAGTATGTATGGCCCTGGCCTGGCGAAGAGATCCAGCTCGAGCAATGATAGATCGGCATGTATCAGATAAAAAGACGAAAAAGGTCAGTGATCCCGGATCCCTTTAGAGAAGGACTGGAGGACTGGTCACTAGAGGTCTTTCTTTGGAGAGGATGAAAGATGATGTTAGTGATGATATTCACAGAAAAGCAAGCTACCTCTTTTTCTCTACCTGTATGGTATGGCAGTTGTTATGCATTGGGTGCAATAATGTGGCGAGGATGAGTGTTGTATTATCCCGATGGCCAGGATAAGTACAGGACGGATATCGAATTGAATTGACTTGTTTGTGAAAATAATGTGTTTGATGTCTGGTGTATCTACTAGGTAAGATGTTACAGTAATAGAATTGACATGGAATCGATTGGGTGAGAAGTGATTTTGGATATTCTGGGGTGTTGGCGCTTCGAATGAATGGGACTGGAACCTTTGTCAAAAGTGGAATTGATTCCAGGGAAGAAAACAAAAAAGTGATATTTTTGTGGGATATCGGAAGAATTGATTGTAAGATAAGGTAAGGAAAATGAGGTGAGGCCAGGTCAGTGTTCGGTCGCAAGATTGAATGAAAAAGAGGATGAGGGCAGAGGAGGAGGGAAACAGAGAGAGAGAGAGAGAGAGAGTAAGGAAGAATCGAGGTGGTTCACAACCCAAAAGAGTTTTTTGTTTACATTTTTCTTAAAATCGCGTGTTGACATGGTTATTGGTACTTTCGCTACTAGCCAATCAAATAAATGAACTTACTTGAGAACGGGAACGAAACGAACTGAATAGATGAAAGCTGAAAAGCAAAAACTAAGAGATAGATATCAAATATTTCCTTACCTATACATAATTCAATCTTCACAGCTCAAGCCGTTATCAACCAATATTACATTCAATAAACAAAATCCTGTCATAAAAAAAACCCCTCCTCTCCTAAATTCTATCATGAAAAATGCCAAAATATTCTTCCCTTCCTTTTCACCAGATCAAGATCAGATCACCCCCAAAATGACGAAAACCTACGCATCCACCCACTCACCCACCTACCAACCCAACTTTTCTGCACCCCACGGTGACGGTGACGCTGACGCTGACACTGATAGCGAAGTGGATTGGATAAGAACAAGTTCATCAAAGACCAGGCAGGCATGTAATAATGTACTGTATTATAATTCCGTACCATTCCATCACACCAAGCCTCTCTCGTCCAAAATTTAAGATTGACATTTCGTACAACTCATCGTGACGTTTAGACCCAACCAATCACGCAAAACTACCTAGACACCTAGACCTAAAAGCGTTGGGAATGAATGAATACTGTAATCCTAATTCCTTAAGCAAACCCTAATTAACTCTTTAGCTTTCGATTCACACATGCTAATCTATCGCATCTACTCGACTCGACTATTCCATCCCACCGACCACCGGTAGTTTAGCCGGAGAGGAATACCAGTACTGTCTAAACTCAAGCACTTGGGATACGCTTAGTCCTAATATGAATTAAGGGTTCGCTTAGTAAATCTTGATCACGGCTATCATTATTGGTGACGGAATTTATAATATCCACTCTCTCTTGGATCACCACATTTCGAAACTAGCTAAAAAAAAACGTCCAATAAAACCCTATAATCCACTTTTGAATCAGCCAATGAAAATATAGTTAAGGGTTATTAACCGAAACCTTAATTCTGTATTTAGAGCCAGGCCTGAGTTTTGACGGTCGGCTATGGGATGGGAAGGGGCCCACTTTCGCAATCAGATTATCATTATAACGAACAATTCTAGCAAAGAGATACCTATACCATACCTAGGTAGTGTATAAAATTCAGAATTTGGCATGATGTGACATGATGAGGAACATTCGGTCCAGCCGGACAGATAGACATCCATCCCTATCAAGTGACATCACCTATTATCATTTACTTACTCATAGATAGAAAACTCTTGCAGAACTAATGTTGTTTCAGATATTAATATATTAGTGAAAGATAGCAATGGCAACGATGAGTACATACAGTAGGTAGTTTGTTTGTAGGGATCTGATCCTTTGCCGATGAAGGAGAGCCTGTCCAAAGTTTCAAATGCCCGTTCATGTTCATGCAAATGTATACTAACTGTACCTATGACTTTGATTGGTAGACAGGCTGTGAGTGAATAGGTACGAGATGGGATGTGGGATGCTCCCTTTCTGCGGTTCGTTTGTTTCACTATCAATCACGTTGCGTGCGAGGACTGGTTGATCATGATCATACACTTCATATATAGCACAAGTCTATGTAGTTCAAAGTGATACAGAAAAATACAGCGTCGTACAAAGCCGTCCAACAGCCTCGAATGCCATCCGACCCTCCTCTCGTAGAGGTATTTCAAAAGTCCCAGTTATAAATCAGATCCCATTTCCTTTTTGCGCCACCCATGCTACCTTATCCTGATTTTAAGATTCCTCAGATGCCACTCAACATGAATACCGTACTCAACATTGCCGCTCCAAATGCCATTGTTTGCGATATCGAGCTCCTACTCCCAACCGACTGATCGTGCGCGGCACCGGGATAATTGCACGTAACTTGCCCGCTTTCATTTGCCGTTCTCCGCATGCCATAACTTGAATCGAAACCTGTATCTCCTGAGGTAGGGCACGCGAAGCCCATGATTGCCGGGCAGGCACGGACAATTCCATAGCATAAATCCTCACAGGGTAAGATTTCCTTATAAGGCCCTGGCTGGACCACCGTATCAATGTTTAGATTCCGAGAACCGTTAATAGGCAGCGAAGAATTTGCTAGGCTGACAAGCTCAGGGCTAAGCATTGTTTGATTTGGAAAGGGCTGTCCCATACCACGTTCCTGCAACCATGGGAGATCAGATGAAAATTCAGTACATCTTGGTATGGTAACCGAACAGAGCCAGGCTTTATATGCAGCATCACAAGTAGTGCAATTCTGAGCGAGCGAGTACTGAGCTGACGAAGTAGTGTTGCAAGGAATCTGCGCTAAAGCTTTTTTGAAGTACTTGTAAGACTGGTAAGTTGAATTATCATACCATTCCGCAAGCGCGGAAGTGTTTGGAAATGTGTTGGGATTTGATGGAACTGCATAGGCGACCTGGTCGCAGAATGTGAGATTGTACACGAGGGCGCAATTATCAGCTATACGGGAAGTTAATTCAGTAATCAAGTAGCATATATCATAATCACATACCTGAGGTTGTCGAAAAAGTCACGGATTTCCATACTTGTCCACCACCACCTACTCCCTCGCGTCCAAGTGCAGTTGCGTTCCCGTTCATTGCGAGAATTCCATAGTAAGATGTGCCAGCAGTCAACCCATCGAGGTATAATTGCTGCTTGGGATAATCACCTTCCCCTCTAGTAGTCATCGACACTTGAATCTTGCCGGTACTCTTACCTCCATCAATAGTTCCTGCTATTTCGGCCTTCTTCTCCAATCCGCAATATGAATATTGCAAGCCTGTCATGGAAGAATTGGCCGTTTTGCTGGCGAACATGGTAAAAGGTGGTGTCAGATTAACCCATTCATCGTATACCGAACCATTATCCGTGGTCAGGTCGTTGGTGACTAGGAGAGCCGACCCGCTGTCGCTATCCACAAGGACGAGATTGGATTCATCGCTATTGTAATAATGGTAGGGCGCATCGATGGAAGCAGCAATCTGCGCGTTCCACGCGCCTGTGTAGTCTCCGGTCAGATTTGAGCCGGACAACCCCATGTAGACATCCCCAGTAGCATTCAAGGTGATTATTGCGGCTCCGCCATCCAACTTGTAGGTCTGTTGTAAGCTATCGTCTTGTCCGGGCCCGGGATTCTTGTTTTTTTCGGACTGTGATATGTAGAGACCAAGCTGCGAGGGCGCCTCCAAGTTTGCTCCTTTAGCTTCGGGTTGTGTGCAGGTATTGACCGTAATATATAGCGTTCTAGTACTCACGGAGCTCGATTGTCGAGGCCGTATGGTGGAATTTGTTTCCCTATCTTCGAACAGATTCTGCTCTCCGTCTTCGACCACAAGAAACTCAGCATCCGAAATCTCGAGATCCTCCTCTCCCATATGACCAACGAACTCGGTATTTCTTTTCCGAAGCCTAACAGGAGAAGGCAGACCGCTTGCCTGTGGGGAAAGTTCTCCCCACAATGAGGAGTTCAGGAACGAAAAAGCCATCGTTTGTCCTTGTTCAATGTTTGTCGTGACCGCGCGATTGTTGAGTAACGGAGTGGGATCATTCTCCGATGCAACCCTTCCAATCAAGCTCCGATCAAATCCTACAAATTCTGCCTCGTATCCTTCGGCTCTTAGTTTTATATCCTCATCTTCACTATCGAGCTCCAACATGTTCATATCCATTAACCTCTCGTGATTATGATCTTCCGGTCGTATCGAATCAACGTCGGCGGCGTATGCGAAGTGAGAGGATGAGAAAGTCAGATATAATACCAGTAGCATGATCGATCCCATGAGAGATGCAGCCAGCCGCGATTGCAGCGGACTGAGCTTTGGCAGAGGCATTGCGATTGCGGTATTGGGAAAATGCCCATCGGAAAGTCGCAAATCTCGTCGTCAAAAGCTTTAAGCATCAGTTTTGTTTATTTAAGAGTATCCCAGATCTGGCATTCGAATATCATGTCTGCAAACGATCAAAGGTTTAGAGGAAGTGATTTATTCTTCGGGGGTCGTTGAGATAACTTTTGGTGTTTGAGTGAAGTCTCAAGCTCCCGGTCCGCTACTGTACCCTGATGTCTTGGCCAATGATAGAGTTTTATTTTTAGTTCATCCCCTGACTACCCCTCTACTAGAAGGTTTACAATTTACAAGTACACGGTATGGCAATCACGATGGAATTTCAAGTAAAACATGCAAAAATCAAAGATGCAGATTTGCCTTTTAACATCGCGAGGTAATTGTGAGCATGTATCTTATCAATTCAGTCTTCTCATTGCCATATCACATGTACCAAATATACTAGTCAACGATGATGTCCTTTGCTGCATTCCCCATCAATCTGAACCAAAAACAAGAGACTCTTGGTGCATTTCAGGTCATGTTCAACAGGACACTTGACTTGTCCCGCAGATCATAAGAAATTCGTTGCAATACCCCCTAAATATTGTGGTTGTCATTCTTTACTCCACCCTCAACTTCACGGCTCAAGACTCTGCCCCCATCTTAGTCTGACGCCTATAATTTCCATCTGCGACTCTACGCATGTTCTCGCCATTCTGCCCATGTTGTTGCTGAGATGGATTCCGGCAGCACGATGGCGGGTACACATTTGCTAGCCCATTACAAGGACTTGCCTGCGGCAGCATTGACCTTGCTAGCTCCAGAGAAGTATCGGGAGAAGACTGGTGCAATGAAGGAGCGGAAGACGATTTGAGCACCGCTAACAGAGAGGATTAGCCCTATGTTGAGGACACATGTTTGGATTGGGTCATATGAATTTTACCTGGTGATTGGGAGTGCGAGCCACAAAACGAAGACGAACTTGAAGGTGTAGTAGAAAGGGAACCAGTATACAACAGTGAACACGCTCTCAAAAACAGTCAAGAAGGCGAAGACAACCCAGTACTATACATATATGTATCAGCTTAGTTGAATTGATGAAATTTTTGGATTATATACCGTGAGCCATTGAGTGTCATCGGCTGTTCCAGCACTGAACAAAGCTTCCAAAGAGTAATACCCTGGAATAACAAACCCAGCAAAGTTCGTAAGGAGTTGACCTGCGATGTTGAAGAATATGAAAAAGAAGTAGAATGCAATAACGCCCAAGAAAGCGTAGACTTTAGGAACGTTGCTTTGCTTTTCGAGGTTGTTCAAAATTGGGTATTTGGAGAGCTGAGATCACAATCAGTCAAAAGGTTCAAACGTCAACACAGTTTGGCACATCACGGCCAGATATTCATCAGTCGGCGAAGACTTAATATTGAAATTCGGAGTGTGCGGGAACCTACTTCCTTGTCAATTTGGGTGATGGTTCCCTGAACTTTGTCTTGGAACGACATCTTGAAAGATATATGTTGAGATGTATGCGGGTATTGTAAAGATTTTGCGAGTGCAAATTTCGAGAAGCTTATTATAGGTAGGTATAGTTATTTGTGTTGGTTGTGGGATGATTGATTATGAGGAAAGAGGATTCAATGGTTGTGCAAAAGTGTTCTTTGTCTGACGCTACTATGACGAACCGGAGAAGCTTGGACATCAATATCATCTCTACTCACAAAGAGTAAATCGATTAATATGTACGAGTATATATCGAATATATGAATGCATTTAAGGTATTCTTTTCTACTCATTACAAAGGGCATTACATGTGGTGCTTCAAAGGGATTATTCAGAAAGCCTTCAGTTGATTTTGTTGTTCGCATACCTTCGGTCTTGAAAGTTCTTATCTTCTTCATCTTCGAGTGCGGAAGCTGGTAAGAATACTTTCGGAGGAATGTGGAAAAGACTGGGGGGTTAGGGTTTTACATTCCACCCAGTGTCTACATTCATTGGTAGATACCACCAGCCGGAAAGATTTGAATATGCCAACTGTCCAGAGAAGAGAAAGCCAGGGGACAGGGCGACGTTAGTATATATAACAAGATGGCAAGCTCGGTATCAGTGATGAATGATGACTTTGGAATAGATTAGATATTGGAATAACTTTGGGTGGGTGTTAGAATAGATCTGAACATTGAAAGTTGCTACTCATACAAGCTATATACATTGTTCTTATGGTTTCCCTATTGAAGTAATTTGCAAAGAAACTTTGTTACCAAAGTACAATTCATAGTACTCGCTCGTACAATGATAGATGGATGAAGGCTAATATGAAATGCATACCTACCTACTCGAGTACTTTTCATTCAAGACATTGTCCATTACAGTACTTTATATAAAGTCGAGTCTCCGAGTTCACCGCCAGCGGATGGGAAATTAATATAAAGCTTGAAAAAATGCGAGAACATGATATATTAAGTAAATATACACTAAAATTTTATTCTTATTATAATACTTCTTTCGCCCAGTCGAAGAATTGATGCTTTCACCAATTCTTAAATCCAACCTCTACGAGTATTGATGATGTTTGTTTTGTTGTGAATCATGGTATCGCACTAAGCCTAGTCGGGACTGATTTTCTGCTTCCCCGTTAACCGGAATACCTTAAGACTTGGTAAACAATTGAAATCAATCTTTCAGAAAACATACCTAGCTTATCACCACAAAGGACGACAACAGCAATACTTGCTCTCCTTTCAATCAGCAGGTATTCATATCGTAGGATCTGATTAATATCAAAATATTAGAAGTCCATAAGGAATCACCAACAAGTCGAGAAAGGGTACAAATCATAAAATAAACAAAGACCCAGCCACTTTTTCCGACCATTTTCTTCGACTCCATGAAACAACAACCTCACATGGAAATTATGGGTAAGTGGTGATACTGTTCTTCAAACATGACACGCTGCAATGTGTCAATTCTTCTAATGTGTGTATATATGCTGACTGCTATGAAACATTGAAGATCAACAACCACCCGGTGAAAAAATCCCTACAAAACGTTCGAGGTCTACTAATGCGATATCCACCAAAACTCGCAAGCGACCTCAATCTCGAGCTTCCACGACCAGTATTCATAGCGGACTTGCGCAACCGGTACTGGATCAGCAATATATAGACCCAGCGCAATGGTATGAGCACAATTCCAATCCTCAGCATAGCAATATTCCTCAATTGTCAGCCGAAGACATGGTTATGCACAGTGCTTCGCAACTACAAAACCCCCGACCTTATGACTTGGAGCACTCTCTCAATGGCGGCTCGAACCACAACATGCAACCGTATCATCCAGAGGTACAGTATAGACCTGAAAACGGGCGCCAATCTATACCAATGGACAATTATGTTCCACATTATGAAGAGGGCGACAGTCAAATTTTGGAAGGCCGCAGTGATGAGCAAGACGAGGTGGATTCCTTGGCAGAGGCTGCTGGAACAACAAAGAAAGCTTCAAGATCAAGCGCTGCAAATGAGTTAGAAATGAGACAGCTATTCCACTCAAATAAACACCGCACCTTACCAGACGTTGCCGCGGAACTTCTCCAAAATGAAAGAGGACCACAGTCGGAAAGACAGAGACAAGTATTTGCCATGCTCTGGTAGGTGCATCGTATAACGAAACTTACATTATGCTAATGAAGTCATTTCAGGATCAACAAAGTCTGCGATAAAGGCACAGGCTCTGTACCCAGAGGCCGTGTTTACGCAAACTATGTTTCAAGATGTGGCACAGAGAAGGTAACGGTTCTAAATCCGGCATCTTTTGGCAAACTTGTTCGTGTGCTTTTCCCAGGGTTAAAAACTCGGAGACTTGGTGTGCGCAGACAGTCAAAATATCACTATGTCAACTTCAGTCTCAGGGATGACCAGCCACAATTGCACGGGACTCAAACTCATCAGCCCATCACAAACTTTAACGATGCAAGTTTTGCGCAGAGCTTCAAGTATGTCAATCTCCTTCTCCTACACCAAACCATTGCTAATTAAGCAGTCAAAGCATGACATCTCAAATCCAGTATCCCGTGGATAAATATCCAATCGATAGAGCTCCGTTCCCATCTCCCGCGGTTCCCCAAGAATTTGAGCAACGCAAGCAGCGATCGAATGGATTCATTAGACCTCATAGCCTCTACACCCACCCAGTGGTCACGAAGCTTGCAGATCTCGAGTGTACAACAAAGACGCCCCAGGTTCTTCATTTTGCGCCTTTAGGAGAACCTTCTTTGCAAGAATATGGGCCTGTTTCGCTTCCTAAAATCCAACAATTTTTGCCTACGGGTACCGATTCGGATTCGGCACTTGCATTATCTGCACTTTATCGCTCTCATTGCACTTCTCTTGTTGAGCAAGTCCGTTTCTGCAAAGAGAAAACATTCTTCCATCTTTTCACGGCTTTCCAAGGCACTTTAACCATGCCCGTGCAAAAATTGTTTGCCGACAAAGCCCTCGCCCCATGGATCAACCAGTGCGATATCATTATGTACCAAAGTATGATGCGCGTTGTGGCACCTCTGACACTTCAAGTGGTGCCTAAAGTAGTTTTGGACACTTTGCGTAACATTTCCGACCGTCTGGTCACACATATTCAAAATTCATTTCACGGCCAGCCAGCACATGTTATCGAAGCGAAAGTCGGTCCAGCGACGACTTTTGCTAGTCTTTTGGACAAAGAATTAAGAGTGAATCTAACTGCTCATGCTGCAGCAAATATGCTGTCCAATCCTTACAATCGTGATACGATGTACGAGGATTTCATTACCATGGTTAATATAAGAAAGATTGCAGAAAGTGTACCTACGAGAGGAATGGATGATGTGGTCAATCTCTTAATAACGGAACTACGTGATCTTCTCGACCCATGTGAGGTGTCGTGGGAGATAGAAAGGCAAACTCCATTCGGAGAAATGGTTGCGCGGATGGGCCGTCAACGACAAGCGAGCGTCCATGCCGACCCGACCACGGAAAATGTCCTTGACCGTTGGGTGAACATGCTTCTCTCGCTACCCGCCAAATTTCCGTATGCTACGCATGCAGAAATCGTTTGGTGTGTCCAAAAGATTGGCACAGCTGTGATGAGAGATCTTACCATCGCCCAAGGCAAAAGCTTTGGTGCTTGGTGGGTGACTAAATGCTGGTTAGATGAGATGATTGCGTTTATGGCTGAACAAGGTGGCTTTATGCATCGGGAAACGATCCAGGGTGTGATGGGAGATATACATAAGAACCCGGCTGCGAGTCGGAGAAATACTCAGCAAGAGGGCCGATATAGTGGCGGAAGTGATGAATTTCTTGCGCGTGGGGTGAATGCCGAGCGGGGCGTCTCGGGTCCTCGGCCAATGGATCTTGCGAGAGAGGCTGCAATGAATGCAGCCGCTGGCCATGATGACAGTGGAATTGGAATGGGAACGCCCGAGGACGAATTTGCCATGGGAAAATATGGCTTCGTCCAAGATGATGAGCATGCATCAATGGAACCTAATTCTCTTCATGCTGTATCACAGGGATCCATGTCTTGAGCTTGAAAGAAAATCCTTACATTGAGCTATTGGGTCAAAGGTGCGGCGTCATGGATGGTCTAGGATTTGGGGTTGGACAATGTGACTGGGAAGGATAATTTTTTTAAACGACCAACGACTATATGAATGGCTGTAGAATGGACGGATACCTAAGGTGTACATTTGGGATTGTCTTGATTATCTTACTCTGGCGAATTGAGTATGTACTCGCTGATTGGACTATTGAGGTTTTGGGCTCCAGCATCTTTGGAGTTAATTGTTGGATGGCGTTTCCCGTACTAAGGGCGACATGACCGGCGTAGTTATCTATAACGGGGGATAATGGCGAGAGAAAGGAAACACGCAAAATGATTCTCCATCTATGATCTACTACTACTAATTCGCCTGTTCTTGAAAATGTCCCTGACACAATTTCCCTTCTACCAACATAAGGTATTCATTGATCGGGTGCTTCTAGATTTAGGATAAACTACTATTACCTTGTTAGATGCAAGACAATCAAAAGGAGTTACTTGTTCTTTTTCTTTTGAGAACAATGAATAGCCCACTCTGGAAAAGTGGTACTGTAACATGATTGGATTTATTTTATATTGGTGAATGAAATCTATAGTTTTATCCTCTCTTAGACCACGTTTATTGAATATTTTCTTTGTGAAAGACAAAGTCTAATAATACTAAAATATCACGCAATATCAATTCTACCTCATTATATACCCCGTATCAAAAATCACTTTATATATATATTTGAATATCCGATCAGCCTTAAATTACCCCTTCCTTCCCCTTCCCTCTCAATTTCTCCATCAATCTTATCTTATCTTATTTAGCTCCGATCTACCCTCCTCCATATTCCTTGCAGGCTCGCTAATTACAACGAGAGCGACTGGTTGACCTGACTGATGTGACTGAATGGGTCCCGCACTTACAGGTCCGATATGATGCCGGTGCAGATTCGAAAATAATTGTAACTTATACTAACGAATTGTATATACTTGTACATATATGCCCCAGGTGTCTCGTCTGGTATGACTCCTTCCAAATATTTATCTCAGTTCTTCTAGACTTTTCTTGTCCTTCTCTTCAAATCACATACTTATTTCATTTATAACTCATCTATCTTGCAGTAATAAGTTTCAATTATCTACGCACAAGTATTGGACAATGACGACTGAAGTTCAATGTAATGGGCATCATGATGCTTCACCGTTAATTTCCAATTCTTTGAACCACAACGACAGTCACCGAAGCTGGGTGGTTCAGAAATTTGGTGGCACAAGTGTGGGCAAATTCGCTGTAAATATTGCGGAGGATATAGTACGGTGGGTGGATTGTGAAACATTGCCAGTGAAACGGACTTGGAACTAATTGGCATTCCAGTGCAAGCTTGAAAAATCATAGAATCGCAGTTGTCTGCTCCGCGAGGAGTACTGGGAAGAAGGTCGAGGGCACAACAAGCCGGTGAGGATATCCGTAACCGGAATCAATTGCGCAGGCTTAGATACACTAATGCTGGCCTTTGCAGATTATTAGAGATCCACGGTGTCCTTCAATCCGTCAATTCCTTGAAAGACTTGGATTCAGACTATTATAAGAGCTTGGTCAGTAAATACGAAGGACTGGTGGACGTTATCCGCGACGATCATATTGCGGCAGCGAATTCACATATACGGGATGAGGCTATAGCCTCAAGGCTCGCAAAGGACATTGAAACCGAATGTAAGGAGATACGGGAATATCGATTAGCTGTTGAACGATGGCACCTGGAAATCGATTCCAGATCAAAGGATCGCCTGGTTAGCTTTGGGGAGAAACTTAGCTGTAGATTTGTGGCAGCTTTATTACAAGACAGGGTAAGCTACACTAAGTTTTTTGAATTGCCTGGTGCTTACAACACTTTATAGGGAGTTGATGCTGAATACTTGGACCTCTCGGATGCCATTCATTTTAAGACGCCAAAGGGAATGAACTTAGAGTTTTACAGAGACGTGGCCGCGGCGATAAAAGAGAAGATAGACGCTTGTCAGGATAGAGTGCCCATTATTACTGGATATTTTGGAACCGTCCCAGGTGGTTTAATGGATGGAGAAATCGGGAGAGGATATACAGATCTCTGCGCGGCATTGGTGGCTGTCGGAGTCGCGGCAGAAGAATTGCAGGTATGGAAAGAAGTTGATGGCATATTTACAGCAGATCCCTCGAAAGTGCCAACCGCGCGACTTTTGTCCACTATTACACCATCCGAAGCAGCAGAATTGACGTTCTATGGTTCGGAAGTCATTCATCATCTGACTATGGATCAAGTAATTCGAGCGACCCCACCGATCCGGATCCGGATTAAGAATGTTAGGAACCCACGAGGAAACGGCACAATCATTTTACCAGATCCTATATTAGAACCTTCACAGCAGACCCATAAAAGGAGCCCGAGCCCTATGGACTCGAAGAAGACGCCTAAACGGCCTACAGCCGTTACTATAAAGGACAAGATATCCGTCATCAACGTACACTCGAACAAGAGATCGATTTCGCACGGTTTCTTTGCCAAGGTGTTTTCCATACTGGACAGTCGAGAGATTTCTGTCGATCTTATTTCTACTAGCGAGGTTCATGTTTCCATGGCCGTTCATTCGGCGCACATCTCCGCGGAAGCTATGCAGGAGACCAAGACGGAGCTCCAAGAGTGCGGCGAAGTCAGCATCCTTAGTGAAATGGCTATCCTCAGTCTGGTTGGATCGGAAATGAAAAACATGGTCGGAATTGCTGGCAGGATGTTTTCTACCCTAGGAGAAAATAATGTCAATATCGAAATGATATCTCAAGGTAAATTTAGAATCTCCGTCCAATACATCGATTTGACAACTAACGAACGACCTTCAGGGGCGAGTGAGATCAATATATCTTGTGTCATAGACGCTTACGAGGCCACGCGCGCGATGAACATATTGCATACCAATCTTTTCACATTTTTAGAATAGACTAAAAGGGGGTTGGAAAAGGTAGGCATTTCAGGGGAGCCGGCGTTCAGAAATTCATGGAATTGGGCATGGTGCATTGGTGGCATCAAAAGCTTGGGAACGGATTAATGCACATATCCACAACATGTATGTTTATATCTTTGCTGTATAGAACTTAAGAACCCGTTCATACTCAGCTGCACAATTCCTTTCGAACATAAGATCCGAGCTCGCTTCAGACCAATGGTTTATTCCAAACATCGACCAAATCTTCAGGTCTAGGGTAGGGGTATCCTTTTCATTTCTTAAAACCCACCGTGAAGTAGGGATGTCGTTGTCAATCCAGATCAAAAATTCAGATACCCTTTTTCGGACAAATTCAATTCTGTTTCTAGTGAAGCACAAATCACGAGATTGTGTCGAGAAATGATTGCCGAGCCCCAATTTCGAGAACGGAGATGGTCGCTTCATCGTCGTCGTCGTCGTCCAAATCATGCATCTCGACCAAAGCAGATATCAAGTGTCACTGCCCTGCGATTATTGAGTTTCTTACCGGAAGATAACCGCCTTCATGCACCACCCTTCAAACTCTCAGAACTGGTGTTAGACAAAATGATATCACATGTGCGGGTGCTTATATACCTATTTTCGGCTCCCCTCAACTGCGTGATATTATCTTCCTTCCGCTCGATGTAGCTTTCCGCGCCATGCTAAGGCGAAAAAGTAAGTACTACGTCTGAGCAACTACTAGGTGTATATTGCGAACTCTCTAGTATCGTCTTGCCTGGTCCTGTCTCATTTCACTGATGTAGATTACGCAATTCAACATCGACGTACGACCAAGCTGACAATAATCAACCATCAGAAGGTCAAGATTATGAGCCTCATTTTGACACAATCTTTTTACAGGTTACAGTGTAAGACGCTGGTTTTCCTTATTCGGCATAGATCGGAATTTCGTTCGACGCATGCTCTTCCTATTTTGGCATCATCTCGTTTGACAGGAGCTTATTCTCAAGGTTATTCTTTCTTCACCAGTCAAGCTATCATTCATTGAAAATCGCTTGTACACTTCGGATGATATATGGTCCGATGTCCAATGTCCAATGTTCAATTTCTACTCAAAACATCATTAAATGCAGATAATCTCAAGGTCTAGAGATGGCAAATGCAATGTTTAGCCTAGATGAACATTTTAGTGACAGAATCCCTGATGCTATGGAATTCAACCGGCTCTCATCGCATTTATAGATAGCTGCTCTCTACAGCAAAATCACATTGCCCCGCCGCATAACGTGCCTTCACCAACGAATTTCAACCTCTCACAACATAAAATAAATCCCCCACCTGCTGTACAACATAGCGCATCAATGCACGCATGGGTACAGATCGTATATCATGTCTGAGAGAAATCTGGATAGGCTTGAAGTTAAATCGGTGGGCTGATAGCCTTTTTGTCTGTAGAGTGTTACGGCAAAAGCAGTAAGTATCCGTTTGTCAATGTTGCATCCGCAGGGCTGCTCTGCTTGTAATCTCCATTAGGCAACTTTGTAAACCCTACTATTTGATTGTGTGCAATTTGTCGGCAGTTAATTTGCCTACCCTGCATGTTGGGAAACGAATACAGAGGCTCAACATCGACTCGATAATTGTGGTCGAGCTGGCCTTTACACACAATCTTTACCACAATCGCCTCTTCATCCGAGCACTGATAAGTAATCGAGGCTTAAAGTGTAAGCATATGACATCGCGACTCACGATGTGCATAATTGTGAGGCCATTGGCTAAATTCAAGTTGAACAATCCAACCGAGAAGTAGGTCCAGCTTCATCGACCACTGCGGCCGGTTTTGTGTCACGAGGAGAAAACACTGCAGCAGCCGTTGCCATCATGACAACGGATATTTGAAGATTGGTTTGGATAAGGACATATGTATCAATAATCCAAGAAAGCAAGTGACACAAGATTACTCGCACAACAGCCGGGAGAAATGAGCGTTCGGTTGTCTCAGAGTTTGTAGCTCTAATTCCGAACACAACTGGAATCAGGCTTGAATTGTTCAATGCAGACTTGAGCAATTTGTTTTCCATGGAATTTTGTTGGATTGGATGCCAACGAATGGTAGTTCTGGTTGTTATCAGTCATTGGGAGGGGTTTCTTCGGAAGCCTGAGGGTGCCCTTTGACTGGCTCAAGAACGCGATAGTTGGTTCTGTTCCCCGACATTCCTCGTAAAGTTATCCGTTACATTTTGGTGCTGTCCGGGTAATTTCCCTTCCTTCCAAACAAAATTTCCCTCCTTTCAATGACCTGACTAGCTTCAATAACTAGGAGTATTTGGAACTTCATCATTTGTGACATGAGAGAGATTTATGTTCCTAGCGGACGTAGGTACATTTATCTACGTCTGATCATAGCAAGTCAAATTAACTTGGTACACATTACATTACTTTCAATGTGGTGTCAGATAATGTGGGCAACGCCGAGTTGCTTTTCTCGGTAGTGTATCCCGAATTTGGCGGACTTGATTCCTAAGTGGGGTTCTTGTCCCGACATGAGAACAAATATGTTGAGCGGGGTGCCACAGAGATACTGGGGGCGGAATGACAGAAGCTAAAAGGCTGTAGTCTTGCGGTCATTCATCATTGGACAAGTTCATTATTGGATCTTTCAAAGTACTCGGAAGAAATAACTTTAGATAAGGTGTATGGTGGCATGTTCAATCAAGCCTTTACAGCGTTGAGCCACCGTGATTCATTTGGAATATCAATTCCAGGATGTTTGACTGATTTTGTCATGCTACACGTTACACACGGCTGCAGTGACTACCGGGCATGTGCCATCCATATGTTCTGTTACTATTTCCGCCATCTATACTTTGCCTACATACATCGTATTTTTATCTCTTCTTCCTTTATTTTGGCTCAAATTCTCCAAGTTTGATTCCGCGCTTTCGGTCGCAACCCGTTTCTCGCAACCTTTCGATGTTTCTATACAATTCAAGCACTTTCTCGTCTTAAAGTCGCGACGGGTTCAACATATTCATTCTCTTGAACTCCTTGTATTTTGCACTTCATGTCTATAGCGGATGAGTGTTGGAGCAATCGGATTTATTACTTCTCTGGAAAGTTTCTGGCACACCAGAAAGTCGTATTCATTTTACCTTGGCTAAGTCTGCCAGTGAAGTTAGACAATAACTGGACAATCGTACCTGGTTGATCGATAATAAATACTTAGTTTTTACAATATCTTAGGGTCATGTAAATAACATCGACCATATAAAAAGACTCTCTCATTGCAATACATTTTATCCTCGAGGGGAGCACCATTTTTTGTTGTATGATATAATATATAGATTTCCATCATGGGTTGGGTACGTATAATTAGCAGTCTGTTGGAAATTCTAAAGCTTATTAGATTTTAGGTGGAGAAGACGAATATGGCTGTGGCAAAGAGCGCCGTTGGAAGACGATTCAGGCTTGAATTTTCCGGGCATAGGTATGAGAGAAAAGGCTCCAGGTTTCTGACAGAAGTGAGAGCCGGTCTCGCCACATTCTTCGCTATGGCGTATATCATCTCAGTCAATGCTTCGATCGTATCAGGTAAGTCTTTGAAACGTACTTTGGTAACTTCGCTCATATATTTCAAGCTACTGGAGGAACATGTATATGCCACTATCCTTCTGGATCCACAGATATCTTTTGCCTAGAAACTTCAACAGATCCTACTTACCAATTATGCGTTCAGGAGGTCAACCAGGACTTGGTCACAGGTACGGCAGCAATATCTGCTCTAACGAGTTTTTGCATGGGGGTTTTTGCAAATATGCCTATCGCTCTAGCCCCCGGAATGGGTCTGAATGCATATTTTGCTTACCAAGTTGTTGGGATACATGGCCAGGGACCCGTTCCGTACAGACTAGCATTGACAGCTGTCTTCATCGAAGGATTACTCTTTGTTGCGCTTTCAATACTTGGACTCAGGCAATGGCTTGCTCGCGCCATACCTCGAAGCTTGAAGATCGCTAGCGGCGCAGGTATTGGGCTCTATCTCGCTCTCATTGGGCTAACTTACAGCGCAGGAATTGGTGCCATTACAGGCAGTAATACCGATGTACCTCTTCAACTAACTGGCTGTGTACCTGAATTCATTGCTTCAGACGGAACCTGCACGTCCGGTAAGATGCGGAGTCCGACCATGTGGCTTGGCATATTTGGTGGGGGAATGTTCACGGCGTTTCTTATGATGTACCGTGTCAAAGGTGCCGTCATAGCAGGAATCCTCCTCGTCTCCATCGTTTCCTGGCCGCGCAATACCTCCGTTACTTTTTTCCCTCAAACCGTTTCTGGCGATGCGGCTTTTGAGTTCTTCAAGAAAGTCGTCACTTTTCATCCAATTTCTCGAGTGCTGGCTGTGCAAGATTGGAATATCACAGGAGCTGGAGCAGGACAATTTGCATCCGCACTCATCACCTTTCTGTACGTCGATATCCTTGATTGTACTGGTACGTTATACTCAATGGCCCGTTTCTGTGGAGCGATCGACGAAGACACGCAAGATTTTGAAGGCAGCGCTGTAGCCTACCTAGTTGACGCCTTTGGCATATCTCTTGGCTCCTTCGTAGGCTCTCCGCCCGTTACTGCATTTATTGAATCCGGCGCCGGTATATCCGAAGGTGGGGCAACCGGTCTCACGGCCGTCACCACCGGCTTTTGTTTCTTCATCAGTATTTTCTTTGCTCCAATATTTGCTAGCATACCTCCCTGGGCAACTGGCTGCACTCTGATACTCGTTGGCGCGATGATGGCGCGCGCTTGTACAGAGATTAACTGGCGATACCTGGGGGATTCTATACCGGCTTTCCTGACACTAGCGATCATGCCTTTTACGTATTCGATTGCTTACGGACTGATAACGGGGATTGTCACGTATACGCTACTTAACAGTTCAGCGTGGATATTAGCGAAGATATCGGGAGGGAGAATCATGCCGCATGATTATGAATTGAAGGATTATTGGACGTATAAAGTTAGGGGAGGATTATTACCTGGATGGGTAAGGAGGGCCACGAGGGGAAAGAGGAATTTTTGGAGAGAATGGGATTTTGATGCCGAGGAGGTGGGGAGTAAGGTTGATAGTGTGAGAGGACATAGGACGAGGGGGAGTATGGCGAAGAGCCACAAGAGTACGAAGAGTCATGATGTGGTCAGCGCGCGAAAAAATGAGATAATAGGGATTCCGAGTGTGAATGGACACGGAGAGAGGACGTGGGAGATGCCTGAAATGGCGTTTCCAAAGAGTGGTGTGGGTGTGGGTGGGAGTGGGGGAATTGGGGAAGCCCTTGGAGGCGAAGAGAGGAGAGAAAGTACGAGGACTATGAGTTCTGCAGGGAGGAGCTTAGGAAGAAGATCGTAATTGGAGAGGGCAGCCATTATGCATGACTTGGGCTGGTAATGACTAGTACTAGGTAAGACCTGGGGACTGGACTTGATTAGTGATAAGGGAGGGAGTTTCAAAATATAAAATGGGAACATGGATTGGATTGGATGGACGGTGTAGATAGATTGAGCGATGAAATTCATTGCCTTCAAAGACTCCCGAGAAAACCTTAGGAGATTTATAAAATACCCGAAAGAGTCATATATGATATCAGACATCATATCGCAACTAAGAATCATGACATCAATCCCTCGCGCAAATGAACACGCTCGCCAACTCGGCTCGTCGCGTCCAGCAAGAAATCAAATACAGTAGAGCAAACAGAGCAAACAAAGCAAACTCAAGCGAAGGATATAATTTTAATTATTTCACCTTCCCATATCTAAGAAACAAAACAACAGCCAGCTGGTTCAGTGGTAGCGCACTGGATTTTCACATTCCCTCAAACGGTATCACTGCTTCACATGACGATAAAGCGATTGTTTCTTGAAGAATCAGTTCGCCTGGTTTAGATCAAGGGGTCTCCACGAATCGCTAGCACAGAGCGTCCTTGATTTTTAGATGTTTTAGATGTTTGTACTGGGTGGGTGGATGAGTTGAGGAGTATTTTATTTTCGTCTTTGGGGGTGGGTGTGTGTGTGTGTGTGGATGATGTTGGTTGGATCGATCGGATGAGATGAGATATTTTAGATTTGCGAAGAGGATAGGAAGTGCGGAGATTATATACATGTGAGATGAGGAATGGTGGAATGGGATGGTTTGGGGTAGAGAGATGAATAACACATATGGAGATAAACACGTCTGGCCCTTGGTAAGAAGATTCGAACATTGATTTGATGGTATGATGGTAGATCCTAGAGGAATGGGATATGCAAAGGCCAGCTTTGAGCTGGAGGTCTCCAACATCCCTTACACTGAGATCAGTCCAACTCCATGTCTCATGAGAAATGACCTTTGGGTAGATTGAGGCCTCGAGCCGTCCCGTCGAGGTCTCTCGTCATAATACTTCAGCCAATCAATCCGTGGCCTTTTGATAGCTACTCATGGTATCATATCTGTCCAGGTCTTAGACACCATCTATCTTTCTATCTCACTGTCAAAGTCGAACTCAGATAATGAGGAGTGTCGTCTCGCACCTAGGCGTAAGGGGTGAGTTGATTATCAGACATAATTTCGGCCATTGAAGAGTGCCATACTATTTACTAGTTCTGCTGGCTCGCCCTCCCCTTTTTGAATTTATCAATAATATCTATCCCTTGGCAGATGATGAAAACTTTCCACAGCTAGCATGATTTTGTGAGGATAAACTTGGACAGTCACCACACATGTTTACGAAATTATTGCGGGTTATAACGAGATGCAAAGATACAGGAGGAAGCTCGCTAGGTTGAATACTCAGATGTGGTTGGCTGTAAGGTTGAAAAAGAAACTATACTATTCAATGTGTTCTCCATATGATTTGAGAACTGTTGAATCTTCAATATACTTCAGAACAATAAGATAGGTATGTTCACCTTTTCCCCCCCAGTCACAATGGAAGAGAAGAGCGCAATATTGTTGCGGAGGTTGAGCTTGAGGAAAGCGAAGAAAGGCTAGTGAATGATTAGGGCGCACATACCACATCAACAAGGCTGCGGCACAAGTACATTTTGGACTTCTACATCAAATTCGAACCAAAACGCCCCTCACTCCTCTACTTCAATTTCTCTTCCAAAATCCCCGGGACAATTTATTTTAACATACTGAAGATTCCCTAATTCCAAATTTATAATCAAATCTCTACTTTTCGCAATTTATCAATACTTGATTTTGGCCTTAGACGTGCAACAAAACTTCCAGAAGATCAAATTCCCAATATGCCGAAAGCAGAAGTTGGATCAACCAAGTTCTTGAACAACAAGTTAAAGTCCAAAGGACTTCAGCGATTACGATGGTACTGTCAAGTAGGTAAACTCTCTCTGATGGCGTATACCTCCCAACTAATATGATGGATAGGTCTGCGAGAGACAAATGCGCGACGAAAATGGCTTCAAAATGCACACACAATCGGAGTCGCATGTTCGACAAATGCTCTTAATCGGCGAAGATCCTAAAAAGTATATCAACGACTATAGTGGTCAATTCCAGCGCGACTTCCTCCAATTATTGCGCACCTCTCATGGCGAGAAGCAAATAAGTTTAAATCATTTCTACCAGGAATATATCAACAACAAGGAGCATGTCCATATGAATTCAACGAAATGGCCATCTTTGACAGAATTTGCAAAGTTCTTGGGCAGAGAAAGTTTATGCCGAGTGGAGGAAACGGACAAAGGCATACAAGTAGCATGGATTGACAACTCGCCCGAGGCGTTACGACGACAAGATGCGATCAGGAAGAAGGATAGACAAGACAAGGGTGACGAGGAGCGGGAACAAACGCTTATCAGAGAGCAGGTACGCCGCGCAAAGCAAGATGCGGAAGCTCGTGGAGAAACGGAGACGGATGAGCAAGAAGGAGAGCTCAAGAGGGATGAGGGGGAGAAGATAAAGCTTAGCTTTGGTGCTAAGCCTACCGTCTCGAAACCGGAAAGCAAAACTATCAAGCCAGTGGAGAACAAGACGCCGACTGGCAATGAGCCTACTCTCGAGACAGCAAAGGATGAGGATAAACCCTCCCAGACACTGGCAAAGGAAGACAATAAAACCACAGAGTCTGGAAAGCTAGAAACAGCCCCTGCTAAAGTTTCTTTGAAGATGGGATTTCAGAGCAAGCCAAAGAACGTTTTTGCAGCGGCCAAAAAGAACGCTCTAGCAGGCAAAAAGGCCTCTGTATTCGAACAGCCGAAAAAGATGAGTGAAGCAGAACGTATCATGAAGGAAGAAATCGAGCGCAAGAGAACCAGGGAGCAATCACATGGAGGGCCTTCCCAGAAACGACCACGGTTTTAATCATATATCATGAGGATTTGGCATTACATGGAGTTAAATATAAAGGCAGGTCAAAAGTATGGGCGGAATAGGGGCGGAATAGGGGCGGAATATGGCGTTGTATTAGTACCACTTGCATCTATAGAATATTCAATGTATAATGTTTCTAATATTCAAGTCAGTTCTACTTTTTATCATCGAGCTTGTGTAGATGGTCGTAAACTGCTCCTCGAAAATATGCAAAGGTCAACGCTTCGGTCTAATTAGACTCTTCAAAGCTCTTTATATCTTCTCTGAAGCTATTTCGATATCATGTCCGAACTCCTTGTATCCTTCGCGCCCCGATAATTATGCACCCCTTATCCAGACCCAAATGCCCCGTCCCATAAAACATAGTAGTTGACCTATTGAGAAATTAGTATAGTTTATGATAACTGTAGTCTTGAAAGGGCTTGCTACAAGACGAGAAATAATAAGTCCTTTTCAGGGCAATGGTGTCAGTTGTCTCATGACTTAGTCTCCCAAGCTCTGAAGTAGCAAATACTTATAAAAGTTGCAAAACATCATGTGGACTTCTCATCCTGTTGTACCAAAACAGCGAAAGTTCTCTTACCTATACTTGCACGCCATCACCCAAATCTCCTCAATCCGCTTCCGTAGCACTTCCGTCTCTCCTACTCCCATATTAGCTTCAGTTCATCGCGCAGACTCCTCTTCCCAATAACAGAGACACTCACGGAATATATTTAACCCTCGCCTCTTCCTCCATCGTCGAGACGATTTCTTCTGGTAACTGTCCATTGACTTTGGTCGCATACACTCCCCTCACATATCCATCCAATCTCTGCCATTTAGCAACCCACGATTTGGAGGGATCGGCCAGCGTGATAAGACCCTCGAATACTTGAGACGTGCAGTCGATAATCGCTTCCATGGATCCTTGCAGATGTAAGAAATCTTCGCAGTTGGGACATCCTTCTCGCATGAAGCGCTAGAATCGTCGATATTAGCCTGGGATTACTGCGTGCATAGACGGGAGAATAAAGAGATGCTAGGGCAGGCCATGCGTACGTTTTGGGTCATGACGATTGAGCAGACCATGCAGGCGCGGAGGTTGCGCTGCTGATTAGAGGGTACGAAATTTTCTGTCATTATGTTTATTGTGGGTGGTGACTGGAGTTGAAGGTGTGATGTCAAGACTCTCGAATTTGTGAGGAGTGGAGTTTATATAGTTGAATGTGTTGCCACTTGTCAGAGAGATGTCAAAGAAGCTTGCACTAGGTACGGGCAGCGGCAAGGCTGACAAAAGCTTGGACCAGGCGTTTAAAAAAGTCGACACGGCTGAATCTTCCACTTTTATCTCATCAGTACTATGTTGAAAATACTAAAACTACAGATTTGGGGATAACTACTTTCAATCGATTATAAAATGGTTGACACTCCAGAGGCAATCGTAGATGCCCCAATGCAAGAACCATCTCCAATTTCTACCCCTTCAAAACGCAAACAAACTCGTAACGGTCACGGTCACGAGCACAAAGCCATCACCATCACAGCACCACCCTTTTCCTACATCCATCTCGAGCTTCAATCCTCGTCATTGAAGAAACCTCAGCTAGATGACATCACAGCAAAATCGTATATCACATCAGCACTGACACGATTTCTGGGACTCCATGGCTCTGCCATCTCGATTGACATCTTGAAGACGGAGGGCAAGGATGTCTGGATTAGAGTTATGAGAGAGGATGCTAGTGCGGTGGCTGCGGCGCTAGGAGGATGGATTAAAGGGGTTGGAGATGAGGGGGGTGAGCAGGTGGGGTGGACGGTCAAGGGGAGAGGAAACTGGTTGGTGGGTTTGATGAGGGAAAGAGATATGGAGGGGGTTTGGAATGACTGATTGAGCATTGTAGAGGTTGGATCATCTACTTTACTTTACTTCTGTAATGAGCAATCCTACAAAGCTGGGGTCCAGGTTTGAGTTCTCCGAGAAGAGAATCGCTGAATGGGAGGGACATCGCTTCGTCAAAGAGATGTGAGACAGGAAGGAATCGGATACGATCTGTGGCTACGACCTATGTACGAAACGAGAGAAGCTTCCTTCGTAAGTCCTGCGAAAACGATATCCGCATACCGAGCTAGAAGCTTGACCTTATCTCGACTGGCCACGCCTTCGTTGCGACAAATCTTGAACTGTCGACTTTGAATCATTGGCAAATAATACCCGAAGTTAGCCAATAACTTCGTGTCAATATTCTTGAGCATAAAACTTCGCAGGCAACGTGCAAGGAAAATATAGTCTTGGCGGTTTGACTCGGTCATGGCTCCACGAAGAATCGAAAAGGGGTCAGATCACGCAGTTATGCCAGAGTTCTGAACAGAATAAGTTTAGGTTTGGACCTGTAACGAGATTCAGAGATAACTACTCAATTTTATTACAAAGCTATTTAATATGTATTTATGATAGACGACTGAAAGGAAATGGTCCTCTTTTATTGATAAAAGTTTGTGGATACACAGGTTGATTCGGTTCAATGTCAAATCGCGCCCCCAAGATCGCATAATTACGCCTATACAGTCTTGTAAAAGAAACAATAACAAAAAGAAAATTAAACTTTTGTGGTATTTCCTAGTCATCTTAGTCATTCAACCTAACGCCGCGCAGTGCATATCATGCCCATCGTGAGAAGTCTAAACTATCAACCATGAGCTCATCTCCATTTGAATCCTTCTCTGGTTCTGCTGTAGACATGATCGATGATCTTTGAGAACTTGCGTCAACCGAGCTAGATAGAAAAGTGAAGTTGGCAACGGAAGCTCGACGAAGGCTAGTCAAACTCTCACGATTCTTGGCATCCGAGACTGCACCATTTGATGAGCCTGGTGGAGAGGTATGAGTGGAATTAGATCGCTTCGGTGCATGTTTTGCTCTAAGTCGATTGATCTCACGTAGGCGATTGCGCCAAGGTGAAACATGCTCCCCACCCTCGCGGTTTGCCCAGACTGAGGAGAACACCGAAGCATTCATTGCGAGCAAGCGAATAAACTCTGGCAACTTTCTCAAACTGACGATCTTCGTTTCAGCGGCGGGTGAGATCTCCGGGAATCCGGGCTTACTCATGACCTGAACTTTGTAGTATGGGTCTTTTCGCAATTGTCCTTGTCGAGGATCTCTGGCGGCGGTGAAGGAGAGACGAGATTCTGGAGCAATGACAATGTTGACATAGTTGAAGTCGGAGGGAAATGTGTCGTACTTGAAAGGCAAGCCAGAATTGTTGAAAATAATATTCACAAAGTCGTTGCCAATATGTTTCTTTTTGTGAGCGCACTGTGGATCGTGTTCGAGCTTTGTCGGCATCTGTGTCGTAACGTGAAAAATGATTTCAGAGACACGGTCTCTCCAACAGAATGCCTTCTCTCCGTCCATACCATAGTCTTTGTCAAGACCTTGGGTGTTGAATTTAGCCCCCTTTAGTTCAGTGACTGTCGCAAGTCCTGCAAGAAAGGTGTAGTACTCCTCACTACCCGTGATATTAGAAAGTATCTCAACTTCCTGCGTTTGATTGTCGCCAATATAAATAACGCCGACTTTATGCCCATCCACGGTTAAATTGCGATCGAGACCCCATATAGCACGTCTAGTTATGTCATCGTCAGGTAGAGCAATTGGGCGCGTAAACTCTGTACCTTGCGGGATTGATGCCGTCAGCTGTAGGAGGAGGTGACTGGGGAGAACGACATTAGCATTAGAGTGCTTTGCGTCACGTAAAGCATCGGTAGTGAGAGAAATCTGATGTGGAGGCGGCGGGTTAAACTTTTCGCGGACCATATAACAAGAAGTACCCGAAGGATGGCGCTTGGTAATTTGAGCCCAGCCTTTGTGGGTAGCTTGTTCAATGGTGACAACGCTGTGGCCAATGAGCCAGCGTCTTTTCAGAATTTCACCATACAGTTCCGGAGTAAAATCTGGATCCGCCGAAGACTCGTCCACATCGGCATAAGCAACTCTCTGCATAAAATCTAAAGTCACTTGCGCTTGCTCATCAATTTTCTCCTTTCCATTCGCATCAGTCGAGACGAGGTTTTTGGCGATCCAGCCAACTTGACCAGCACGATCAGTAAGCTTCAAGGACAAGAACCAAAAGGTGATTACATGGTATGCAAGAGCATACACATACTGTGGCAAATCATCGGAGCTGCTTGTTTGGACGTTTGAACCCACTGAACTGCTTTCTGTGGAAAGTGGGCCTGAGGAAACTCGAGCTCGCGGGTGGCTATTTCTTGGATTGCTATCCTTGCTCGGATGATCTCTTACATTTTGAAGATATCGGAAGCATACAGCGAAAACAGTTCGGTATTCTTCTTCCCGAAAATTGGCGTATAGCTCTGGGAGTCTTGATAGGCAAGCTAAGAATTCCAGAATGTGAATTGCGACATTCTGTTGAGTAATAATCTGCGACATCTTTTGAAGAATGGTCACCAGTGCTTTTCTAGTCGAACCAGGAAGTTCATGGCAACAGATTGAAAGAGCATGAATACAGCATTTGGCAGCCCGCTCCCACGCACCCACACCTTGCAAAAATGTCCTGACAATCTCGTCTTCCTCAGCCTTAGAAAATTCTCGGTTATAACTTATGACCATCGTTAAGACATGGAAGAGACAGATGGCAACGTCAGCTTTGCGCAACCCAGATGACACTGGGGGCTCCTGAAAGCTACTATCTCTGATCAAATCGCACAACAAAGATCTGAGCTTTCTTATCTGAGCGATTGATGACTTAAAGAGCGCTTGGTTTGTCAATTGGGATGGTAGGTGAACAAGTATGTAGCTATACACTTCCCAGTCGCATCCGCCATCGAGGAGCTGGCAAAGAACATCAAGATAGGAGTGAATGTTTAGGATACTCTGGACGACCGGTTGATAGGAGCTCAATGCGTCGTTCTTGCCAGATACTTTTCCTTTGGCATCGCTTAAATTCGGATGTATGGACTCGATTGGAGTATATGAGGTATTTCCGGGATCATCTGTTGCGAAATCGTGTCCATCCTCCTCTGCAACGTCTCTTTCGACGGTCATGGTTTGAGCAATAGACTGTTGCAAGTCTACTTGATCAGAAGCCGGGTCTGTAACGTCCACATCTTGCGCAATGAACTTTTGGTCTACATTTTCTATGATTGAAACCAGACGTAGAGTAGCAATACCATTTGTAGTGTCTGGCAAGGCGTCTACATCTGGAGACATCCACATTTGATGGTTGCGCTGTAAAGTTCGATTAATGCCACTGCCTAGTCTAAATGTTTGTTTGGGTAGAGACTGTGCTTGGCCACCACCCGAGGTGCTCCGACTCAGGCGAGAGTTAAAGTCATCTGTCCGAGCTAGTCGGCTTTGCTGTGTAGCTTCATCAGCAGCGTGCTTCCTAGCTAGAGATTCTGATGTTCGATAGAGGGAAGCCGCTAGAGCATCTGACTCGGTGAAGGGCGTAAGAAAGATTCTGTTCATTGCATCTGCTCGAAGTCGAAAGAACATTTTTAGAGCAGATATACGGGAATCAGTTGGGCAGTCAGAAGCTTGTGCGATAGCAAGTAGTTCTTCGAACACTCGTGATGACTTAGAGACATCCGTAAACATAGTCCGCATGAAGACTTGGATGAAACCCTTCACAACAACATTAGAAGGGCTGTGCACAATGGGAGGCGTGGCGCTAGAAGATGCAGACTTGCTCGACAATATACCGTGATGGGATCCGGGAGGTGAGCCAAGCGGTAATTGCATTCGGTCACTGGTGACAACACTTTTCATAATATCGACAGCATGTTGAAATAAGCCATCATCCTGAGTTTGTTCAGCCATAACTACGGCGAAGTCGATGAATTCCTGGAGTATTGCAATGTCCTTCTCATCGCGGACATATGCCAGGACTGTCACCGCAAAAGCCTCAAAAATCTCAGGCTGATCTGTAACACTAACAATAACATATACATCTGTGACAGCTTTCAAAGCGTGCAGTCGGATGTCGGATGGACGGGACCTATCAGCAAGAAAACCTCCAAGAATCAGGTTAATGTTATCCTTCCATCGCAAATCCGATGGTGAACAACATTTATAATCTATAAAATGATCAATGACCAATTTCGCGCAAGTGTCCGGGATATAGGTGTGAGATCTGACAAAGAATTTGAGACAGTCATCCTTTTGAACGAAGTTGAGTGGAGGTAAATTCAGTAGCTGCTCGACACGCACGATCAAACCACCAATTAGTCCCCCCATTTTTGATAAAAACTTCTGTTGCGGGGTTTCGGCTTTTGCAGGCCCACTCCTAATAATATTATCGTATATCTGAGACCGATTCGTTACTGGGTCTGGGATACGTCTAGAGCATATAGACACAATCTCAAACATTGGGGACCAGTCTTCGTCCAGCACATTCTGCATGATTCCACCTTCGTGAGTAAAAAGCGAATAAATCAACTGCAATGTATCGCAATCGATTGCAGTGCGATCTAACTCAAGGACCTTTCTTAAAGAAGCCATGAGAAGTGTAAATGGGACTAAGGGGTAGCCATTCTTCGCGTCCTTGGCAAATAATTTCTCCAATGCTGAGATAGAACCCCGGACCTCTTTGATGTTTTGGCTGTACTGCTTATCATCGGACTTATCCAACAGAGGCTTCCCAAGTATTTCCATCATTATTCTCACCATTGTGAGCCCGTGATGGGATCTGCATAAGTTGCTGATGCATTTCCATGCATCTTGGTGCACATTCCAGAGAGAACTATGTATAGAGCACAGCACCTGCACAACCGACTGAAGTTTACTATCTGGAATATCCCCGTATGTTATAACGGCATCAAATAACTGGTTGCAAGCCTTAAAATCAGCCTCTATAGCAGAGGATGTGCAAATCTCAAGAATCTGAGAAAGAAGTTGGGACGATGCTGGTTCAGTGACAATATTGGAACTGAACTTGATGATATCCGCAATGAAAACAAACATCAGAGATAGATTAGATTCTTCTTCTGAAGGTGTTTGTTCTTTTGGCAAGGAGCTCTGACGGGTGACCTTTTTGCCTGCGTTTCGTTCTGATGTAGTTGCAGACCAGGTATCCTTCAGCCATAGAGTTAATAAGGGGAGTAAGTCATAATGGAAGCCGGACAGATCTTTGCCATGCCGTGATAGTTCGACCAACGAAACAAGTTGCAGGTGAAAATCTGCTCTGTTTGTGGGACGACTTAATACTCGAAAAAAGCTTGCTCTTTCGGGATCGTTCGAGGATGTACATTGAACACAAGCGGTTAGCAATTCAAATCCCGCAATTCGAGCCTGTTGTGTTTGAGTCGGTTCGATAAGATCGCTGCCTGCTATGAATATCATAGAAACCTAAGTCAAAAATTAATAAGCCAGTAGATACTAGGTTGATTTCGATCTAGATGACTGACATTTTCCATGGGATAGTCAATCACGGCACAGCGTAAGTATTCTGCTGCACGGATACGATCCGCGAGACTGTGACCTGCTTGTAGCTGCTCAAGAGTTGGCTCGTGGTTGAGTGTACCACTACGGCTAAGCTTTTGGGGAATGCCTCCATTGTCGAGCTGTAGAGGACCTGTTGCTGGAGACTGTGTACTTGGGCTTTTGGTGATTTTACCGCCAGTCAAGCTCTTGAACACACTCGCAATTCCGCTAGAGCTCCTTGGTTCCGGCGTCTGAGCTGCATCTCCGACAGGTGGAGGCATAGAAGCTCGAGGATTCGAAGCTCGAGGGTTTCGTTGAACTCGAGAGTCTGTTTCGAGATTCCATCTATTAGTAAATGGAGGATACATGTTGAAGCATTCTTTTGTAGAGGTTCGTATTGTGGTGTTGTGTGCATGTAAACAATCAGAGTTGACAAAAGGAAATGAATAAGGTAACAGATGGTTGTGAAGTACCGAGACAATTATGTTCCCAGATTTTTAAGGCAACAGACGACTTGCTCTATTTTCCATGCTCTCTAACAGTGTACGGCAATTCACATCAGAGTCACATGAACAAGAATATATCAGCTGAGAAACTTGGGACTTTTACATTATAGCCATTCTAGGTTTGGCTCCACCAATTATGATGGGTTGACAATGACAGTCAGCTGATGAGGGAGCATCCCAAGCCCATACTTCTATCTGGACTCACTGGGCCTGGACCAAGTTGATGGAAAGTAAAAACAATAAAAATCAACAGAGACATCTAACAAGTACTACATGAAGTCTAACCACTGAATATATTTTGTCAATCATAAAAAGTAGATAGTATTGCATTGTGGAGGGTTGAGGAGTGAATGGAGTGAAGCTGCTATGGCTAACCAAACTTCCGGAAACAGTATAAATATAAACAATATATCTAACAGTCCAGCGGATGGATATATAGGTATATTCATGGGAGACATTAAGTTCCACCAATATCCTCTGTAAATCTTTGACTTCACTCTCAAGTCTACTAAACTATTGCCAAGCCTGTGAGGCTGTAAGGCTACAAGGCTGCCAGTTTGAATGATGATGATGACACTAGTCTTCAATGAGAAACTCATGATTATCTCCAACAACCAGACCAGATAAGAGTACAAGAAATTTCAAAATATAAGTATCAGAGTGTGGTAGCATGCTCATGTAAACTATCTGGACACAAGGAAAACTCAACGTACATCTTTGATTTTGGTTTCAAATAGCTCATGAATTGTTTGTTGCTTTAGTTGGAATCAAGGTCTCATTCATGAAAGATCTTTCTTGCCCTGATACATCGGACTCCGGATTATCATCACCTCCGTCTCCATCCTTTTTAGGTTCTAGAAAGTTTACAAACAAACATTCTGTATCAATCATCAGAGATCTTGATTCCTGTTTAGATCTTCACACTGTCTCTTTAGATATGTCTTCAGATATTCAGACGGTTGCAGCTCTACTCCAAGCTACTTTGGATCCAAGGCAGCATAAACAAGGTTTGTAAACTCTTTTGCCCATGTTTATAGAGCAATTATTAACTGTTTTGTGTAGCTGAGGTAGCCTTGAAAGTCGAGCAGGCCAAACCTGGATTTTCTCTCCTTCTCCTCAACATTGTTGCCGCAGATACTCTGCCAGTTAATACAAGGCTTTCGGGAGCTTTATGCTTCAAGAACTTCATCAAGTACAACTATGTGGTATGTATCTCGCACACTTAATCACCTTGCTCTGCTAAAATATATTCAGGACGAAGAGCGAAACTACAAGCTTCCACAAAATGAAGTCTTTACGATAAAGACTGAGTTAATCGGCCTCATGGTCTCAGTCCCAAATACTATACAAGCTCAGCTTGGAGAAGCTATTAGTATTATCGCAGAGTCGGACTTTTGGGATAGATGGGATACATTGGTGGATGTCAGTCACTTCCATACCGGATCAGTGTTAATACCGAAAGATTTACTAATAATGCCTAGGATTTGGTCTCGCGTCTTACTCCGGATAATGCTAAAATCAATAACGGTGTATTGGAGGTTGCGCATTCAATATTTAAGCGATGGAGACCACTATTTGCCTCGGATGCTCTCTATACAGAAGTCAACCACGTACTCTCAAAATTTGGACAGCCTTTTATACAGCTTCTAGCGGTATGATTTCACTCCCTCAGTGGTTTAGGCATCAGCTAACCTTTTTTCCGTAGAGCACCGACCAGCAAATACAAGCTAATAAGGATAACAAGGAGGTTTTGAAGCAGCATTTCGAGACGATGAATCTTTTGATGAAGGTCTTCTTTGATCTTTCCTGTCAAGATCTCCCTCCTATCTTCGAGGATAATATCGAAGACTTATCCAAACTTCTACACAAATATTTGACATATGAGAACCCTCTCTTGGCGACAGACGATGATTCGGAATCGGGACCTCTCGAGTTTGTGAAGGCTGGCATATGTGAGGTGTCGACGCTTTACATGCAGAAATACGAAGACGTATTTGGGAGACTCTGTGAGCCCTTCATTACAAGCGCCTGGAGTTTATTGACAACCATTGGACCCGAAACAAAATTTGACATACTTGTCAGCAAAGCATTGCATTTCCTGACTGCTGTTGCAAGTCTCGACAAGCATGCTCAAAATTTCAACAATGGGGACATATTGAGTCAGGTGGTCGAGAAAGTCATTTTGCCCAATGTTAGCTTGAGGGAAACAGATATTGAACAGTTTGAGGATGAGCCCATCGAATACATCCGAAGAGATTTGGAGGGTTCAGACGCCGACACCAGACGACGAGCAGCAACAGACTTTTTGCGCAAACTTTTGGAGAAGTTTGAGCCACTTGTAACAGAAGTTGTTGGACGCTACATCAAACACTATCTTGACCAATTCTCCCAAAACGGCAGCGATCATTGGAAATCCAAAGATACCGCTGTATATTTGTTTTCGGCTATTGCAGCCAAGGGTGTCATCACAACTGGACAAGGAGTCAAAACCACTAACCCCTTGGTGAACGTTGTCGACTTTTTCCAGCAAAATATTGCAAATGACCTACTCGCCGAAACGAGCGTGGAGCCAATCTTGAAAGTAGATGCTATCAAGTTCCTTTATACGTTCCGTAGTCAACTGACGAAAGATCAATGGAAAGCGGCTTTTGAACCTTTGGTCAAGAATCTCGGATCGTCCAATTACGTGGTGTATACTTATGCCGCAATCACCGTGGAAAGAGTTTTGTTTCTTACAAATGATGCAAACCAGCATCTCTTTGGGAAGGAAGATGTACTGCCACTTTCTGAAAGTCTTTTAGATCACTTGTTCCATTTGATCGAAAAAGATGCCGCGCCCGAAAAAATCCAAGAGAATGAATTCCTTATGCGCTGTGTTATGAGAGTTCTCATCGTTATCAAGGACGGCGTTGTTCCAATAGCGGATAATGTTTTGCAGCACTTGATTAAGATCACTCAGGTCATTGGCCAAAATCCCAGTAACCCACGCTTCTACTATTATCATTTCGAGGCCTTGGGTGCTTTGATCAGGTATGTTCAAACTTTTTGCATATAGTTTCACTTCTAACTCACATAGATGGTCGGCGCCTTCCCAGCCCGATAAGCTTGAGAATGACTTATACCCAACTTTTGCTGGTATTCTCTCCAGCGATGTTCAAGGTATGCTCAATATGCACTCGAGTATGGGACCCTGCACTAACAATCATCAAGAATTCATGCCTTACGTCTTCCAGCTTTTCGCCGCGCTTTTGGAGGCCAACCCATCCACCACACTTTCTGACTACTACAGGAATTTGATCACTCCAATATTAAGCCCCACCCTTTGGGAATCCCGTGGAAATGTTCCAGCACTCACTAGGTTACTGTCTGCAATGATACCTAAATGCGCTGCTGAGCTTGTAGCGAACAACCAACTTGAGCCAATCCTTGGTATCTTCCAGAAACTCATGGCTGGTAAATCGAGGACCGAACTACAAAGTTTTGATGTTTTGGAAGCTTTGATTATATCATGCAACGTGTAAGTAGCCCCCTCGTATATGCAACAATTTTATCCTAACAAGTAATAGTTCTGCCATCGAACAGTACTTCCCTACGATCTTGAACATCATGTTCACACGTCTTAACAGCAACCCCCCCGAAGCTTTCAAGCGTCGCTTCGTCCGCTGCTATCACCTTATCTCATCTAAAGACCAGCAAGGCCTTGGAGCAGATTTCTTTATAAAGCAATCCGATGCTGTTCAAGAAAGCGTATTCGTGCCTCTTTACTTGACCATAATTCTACCCATTACTCAGCAATTTCCTCGACCACTGGACCGCAAGATAGCCGTCATCTCTTTGACTAAGACTTTGACCGATTCACAGGCTTTTGCCGTCAAGTACAAGAAGGGCTGGTCCAAGACTTGTGAGGCTTTGCTCAAGTTGTTGGAGAATCCACCGCTACCAGTGACAATGGATGATTTAGCTGCTGAAGCAGATGTCGATGATCTGAGCTTCGGAGTTGGCTTTACGCAGCTTAACACTTGCAAGAAGGTGGCGGATGATGAATGGCCAGAGATCACGGATGTAAAGCTTTGGGTAGGATCGTATTTGAGAGATGCAAATTCGCGACACGACAGAGCGATTTCAGGTTTCGTGAACGAAAGATTAAATTCGGAGGCCAGAAGTCTTCTGGTAGAGTATATGCAGTAGGATTGCATATTCTTCCTGGATGGCACGAAGGCGACGAAATACCACGGCGGGTTTGTACTGATTTATAAGGCATTTCAGCGAGGCAAGCGAAACATAGGTAGATTGTTTCTCACGATTCCCACAGTGAGTAGCATTCAGCAAAAAGATGCGTTGTCATGACACGATTCGCCCAGTGCATGAGTGATAGCATGGCGATTGTCTGAAAGCTGGAACCGCTTGATAGCTCGCGAGATATAAGAGCAATCAATTAGATATAGGTGCATTGAATCTTGAGATACCGGAAGCAATGTTTCTTCCCTTCCTCCTGACGAAATTTGAATGTACTTACATTACAAACTGGTTTTACCGGGCGGGCTTCTATGATTTATTGAGCAAGCCATATAGTCGGGGCGAACATAAATCACATCCTTGTATTTACACGTGACCTCGAAACTAGAGTTGATCCGTCAGAACAGCAAACTCAATTAGTTTTAGTCTCAACGACAGGTTTTCAAATATTTCGATTAGAACATTTGCAACTGCACTAAATAAGTAACTGCATCTTTTTGAAAATTTACACCTAATAATCAAAATCAATACACGTCAAAAGTGTAAGATCTACTAGGTAGTGTTGAATAATATCGTTAGGGCTAGTGGGCTAGTTGGTAAAATAGATAACCGAACCCGCGATTTTGATTTTGAATTCTTCTGCCCACCTGCCCACCAATCAAACTTTCGACGACGACTCAGAGGAAAATCACAGCATCATGAGCGCCTTTCAAAACGGCGGCATCGCATCGCGAGCCTTGGACGATAACTCCGATATCGAGGAGGAGGCACTTGCCAACGATTACAAAGAGCAGGTTCAATATGAGGGCATGGAAGAGTTGGAACAGGTCAACTCGATGAGCATGGCACAACAGACGGATGATATTCAATCGAGGCTTGCAGCTGCTGCGCAACCTTTGGACTTCTCTGCCTCTCTCGAAGTCAAGTTTGCAAGCTACGATAACTATTGTAGTCTTTTTCACTTCATTTTGAACTCCGACGGGCCTGTTGACCTCGAACCACCATCCGTAAGTTCTTTGTTGATTAGTTGGCAGTACGAAATACTAATCATACTCATAGTACTACTGGGCTTGGGACGTTATCGACGAGTTCATCTACCAATTTAACTCTTTCTGCTCATACAGAAATCGAGTCGCGCGTCAAGGTACAAATGAAGAAGAAATTCAAATTCTCCGCGAAGCGCCAAACACATGGGGATGCTACAGTGTTCTCAACGTTTTATACTCTCTCATTCAGAGATCGCAAATCAACGAGCAACTAGCTGCCATGAAGCGCAATGAAGAGCCTATGGCAGTCGCCGGCGATTATGGCTCGAAGTCCTTGTACAGAATGCTCGGATACTTCTCTATCATTGGACTGTTGCGAGTTCACTGTCTTCTCGGAGATTTCAGTCTTGCCTTGAAGACCCTTGACGATATCGAGCTCAACAAGAAGGCTATGTTTGCGCGTGTTATGGCCGCTCATTTCACTACCTATTACTATGTAGGATTCTCATACATGATGATGCGCAGATACGCAGATGCCATCCGCATGTTTAGTCACATCTTGATCTACGTTTCGAGAACCAAGAACTTCCAAAAGAACGCACAATATGACTCAATCTCAAAGAAGAACGATCAAATGTACGCCCTCATTGCCATCTGTGTGGCTTTCCACCCAACCCGTCTCGATGATACCATCCACACTGCCCTGCGCGAGAAGTATGGTGACCAGCTCCTTAAGCTTCAACGTGGTGGACCCGAATCCCTCCCAATCTTCGAGGAACTATTCCGCTCCGCTTGCCCCAAGTTCATCTCTCCAACTCCTCCCGACTTCGACAACCCAGAGTTGAACGTTGATCCTCTTGAGCACCATCTATCTATTTTCATGGATGAGGTCAAAACGAACATGTGGAGCCCAACTGTGAAGTCGTATCTCCGATTATATACCACCATGGATTTGAAGAAGTTGGCCGGGTTCTTGGAGGTTGAACCTGAGAAGTTGAGGGGATGGTTGTTGGTCAACAAGCAACGTAGCAGACAAATTAGATGGACTGATAACGGCTTGTTGGACGGAGAAGTAGTCAACTCTAATGATCTCGATTATGCTATGCAAGGAGTAAGTCAAAATTTGTCATTGAAACGTATAATCGCTAACCCACTGTACAGGATCTTATTCATATTTCTGAAGCAAAGGTTGGCCGTAAATTGGTGGACTGGTATCTCAGAAACCTTGCTCGCACATACTAAATTACCTTTCACGCTTCTCTCTTGACAATATTGCTTTCAACTCTATGGCATTGGTATGGCGTACTGGGTGGGGGGTGGAAAAGACAAATCTACGAAATGGTCTGTCAAAAATGGCATGAAGGCGAGGAGCCTTATGAATAGAACAAATTAAATTATGAAGTAAAACCCATACATATCACTTTGCTATTTTTTGGGTTGTGAAAGAGCATACTAGGTATTTTAAGCTTTGTATCATAAGCATCTAACAAGGCTGAAAGGAAGGCGTGGCTGTCTTGGCATCCATATATACATATAAAGGAATGCTAATAAAGTAACAAACTGCATGAACGGCATTATATATGCAATCGTTGATTCATCTTTACTTGACTACCCCAAAAAGTCAACTCCAGAATTTGGGTACGAATAAGAATATCTAGATAATCCTGGTACGACACCGCTGTCTCTCGCCTGAAGCCCTAGGACAGACCATTTCATCCATCCACTTTGACGAATTTCAATCCAACAATCTCAAGATTTCTCGAGCTCGCCTCATTCGGCACATGTATTCGAAAAGTATAATAAAGCTACCTCGAACAGACTAGATGTCTAATTTATAGCTGAACAAGAATTTACCATGTCAGCGCCTACTTCACCGCACGCCAAAAGTGCAGATTCGCCATCTCCAAAATCTCCGCTTTCACCCAATACTTCTGCGCCAGCAAACGCAGATTATTTTCCTTCTCCAAAGCTTGGGTCCATCACCGAACATGTTCAATATGAACATCCGCCGACCCAACGGCTAAACTCAATATCGAGCGTATCCTTCAGAGGAAGTTCCAAAGGACCGCGGCCCTTGAAAGAAGGGATTGGAAAAGGGAAGAAGCCTCTAACCCGCCCTCGCCTGAGGGGCTCGAGTCCACCTCCTCCGCCGTAAGCTCTTTGTCAATTTTTTGTTTCTTCTGGGACAATAATGATTTGGTACGAGGGAAAAAGGTGTACCATCAATTAAGTACTTTGTGGCATCCCGCGCTTTCCTTCTCGGATCCTGGCGCCCGAAATCTGGGGGCGGGTGATCAACCCCACTTGGCTTCTATATCGCGCAAGAAAGCACTTTATGGTTGATCAGGGCTCATATCCTTTCTTATATTACTACTTCCATGTTTCTTTGCATTCCTTGAATTAATCACTAATGGCTCCCTCGAACAGGAAATTTCAGGGAAAAGTCTCCTTCGACAGCATTGGATCACTATCGGAGCCCACGGAGAGGAATACTAGAAGCTATACACAAAATTCCAAACACGAGGGATATCAGTACAAACGATCCTCAAGGACTTTTATGGTCGGCATAGATGAAAATTCGTATTCGGACATTGCTTTACAGTGGATGCTAGAGGAGCTTGTCGACGATGGAGACCAAATTATCTGTTTGAGGGTCATTGATAAAGACTCGAAGGTGATCACCGACAGAGCCCTGGAGATCAAGCAATATCAGCAGGATGCAAGAGAACTACTGGATACGATACAGAAAAAGAACGATGACAATAGAGCTGTTAGTATTGTGCTGGAGTATGCCATAGGGAAAGTTCACACGACGTTTCAAAAAATGGTATGTTTGTTCTGTTCAATCGTTCATAGAAACCCGATGCCACTTACTAACGATTCCTGCGTCCAGATTCAAATTTACGAACCTGCAATGCTCATCGTTGGAACTCGAGGACGAAGTCTCGGTGGCTTCCAGGGCTTGGTAGGAAACAGAAATTCATTCTCAAAATGGTGCCTGCAGTATTCGCCTATCCCTGTTGTTGTCGTAAGGCCTACTGAAAAGAGGTTGAAGAAGAAACAGAAAAGAGATGCAGATCCTGCACGTCAAAGTTACAGTCGCATTTTACAAGAGAGTGGAGTGAATGGCCATGAGACATCAATCGTTGCAAGCGATCTTGAGAGCGCAACCGGCCCTCTTATTGAGGCGCATGCGGTAGCAGCTGCTCTTGGTTTACCAGCGGAATTCGATCCCACACTGACGCCCTTTACTCTTGAAGGTAGTCGACCACTCAAAAAGATAGATTCTGGCAAAAGCGAAGCAACAAGCTGTACCAGTGGATTGGATTCTCGACCTCAAAGTCCAGAGATGCTTATGAAGAGTCCTCGGTCTGCACAGCTTGACAGTCCGATTATGAGCGGCGATGATTATAGCGATGGAGAAGGAGACGATGACGAGGGGGAATTTGAGGTAGTGCCAGGACACATGCTACTTGGCAATGCGGATATATCTCAGGCAAACCCCGATATTGAGAGGAAAAATAAGCTTCATAAGATGGAGCTCGAAGAAGCAAAAGCTCTAGGTAGAAAATCTTCTACTGGTTCCACAGAAAGCGTTGATCCAGAGGGCGGAGGAGAGAACAGTTGACTAGCCGGCCCGGGCGAAACTTTATACGGAACAACCAATGGCGAATACCACTCTTGCGGAAATGCTCTGTTATTGATACCTTCCTTCATTTAGCTTATTTAGTTTGCTGATTTTGGAATTGCCTGCACCCGGGCCAGGCTTATATTTGGTGGGAAGGGGGAGGGGGGAAGAGGATGAGTGAACTTTCACGAATGAAACGACAATTATGATCAATAATGACTAAAGGGGTAGGGTTCAGCTAGGTTTGGAAATGGGTTTCAGGGGTAGCATAGATACTTCGGTACATGCACAGTTGCGCGGTCGCACAGCGGGTCATAATATGAAAGGAGGAGCACATTGGTAGGAATACTTAATATTTTCTAATACAAGCGAACATGCTAAAGTTATGTGTGTGGTCCTTATCTTGTGCTTGCTCTTTGCACTTCACTATTAAGATGAAAATGAAACTGTGTCGTGTTCCTGATATGTTGATTTCTGTATTTGCACAATCGAGTAAGTAGCCTCTGGCGTTTAGATGTCTCAAGTCACTCTTCGATGTGTGTACTTGGGTTCGAAATTAAGATGGGGTATTCGCAGTCCTATTGCCGGGGTTTTATGGACAATGAATGAAAAGGGACCTAGTGGCCCATGATGGGATTACCATATGAGTAAATGGAAGCAAGCGCTTCTGAGTCCTACCGGAATCCAAATTTACTGTTCACCAAGTCTGCCCTCGTATATATCATACTTTCACAACTATCAACGCAAAACTCAACTCTCCTATACTATTTGGTGATAATTCAAAGCTGGAGTTGCTTTAAGCTCTAGTAAGGCTGGAATATTGTCCAACGATACCATCAACGGCTTTGGATACCTGCATGGAGCGCTAAATCCTCGCGATATTTATGGCAGGCTGATCAGCATAGTGTTGCAGAGAAGCGGAAACTAATTTACGGAGTAAAGAGAGTCCTTACTCTTGACTCAGAAAAGTGTGGACATACCTGACCTGCTCGAAATTTCCTATCATTGTTCTATCTATCCAACAATCGTACTCTCGCCGTTCACTCCTCAATCAAATCCCCAGCGCCGAAATCACATTTCAGGATCAAAATTCCTCATTGTAATTTGTCAGACTATAGTCCGGACTATTAAAGGCTCTGATACCGACTCCCAACCCCAAACCAAATTGTCTTCCCACTCCTCCTCTACAGGTCACAAGTAGACTGACTCATCCAAAACACCTCATCCAAGACCACATCCACACCATCCGTCCAAAATCGCCCCATCAGCAGCCCCCTTTGTGAGTACAGCACAACTTTCGGCATCGGCCCCTGCCTCAACGAAACCATTTCAAACTAATTGACATACATCGATGGGCAGAAAACTACCAGCCCATCGAACAAATTACTAAGTCGCGTTTTCATCAACTGTGTTCAATGGAAAGAACTATTTATTCCCTTCCGTTCTATCTTCCAATCTAAGGAAAATCGATAGCCTGCAATGGAAAACTAGGGGATTTTGGGAAAGCATCGAGGAAATAGCAAAAATGTCGCAAAATCAATCAATTGAATCAAAATTACAACAATTAATTAATTATTCAGACGTGCAACAAAACTTTTCAACTATTTATCTGTCTGCCTGGCCTGAGGATGGGATTGAAGTGAAAGCTGGGATTATGATGTATTCACTCTCCCTTCACCTCGCTACCTATATATTCACCCTTACTCTCTCCATAATTCTCTTGGTATTATATATGGAAAAACATGGGCAGAGATCTGGGGATGGAGCGTGGAGGGAAAGCGAACGTAGTTTCGTTTTAAACATTCACTCTTCATCTAGCTCACTATTTACATGGGGTAATTTGTGTGTACACTTGGAGCTCGGAACCATAGGGGGGAGGGGAATGGGATGAAGAAGATGATGTCCAGAGCAATCACACCCACACACACATACACACACATCGCCATCGCGTTCAAGCACAAATCATACAGCATACATCAAAAGCCAGTTTGAAAATTATCTTCTAAAATCATAGTTAAAGTTAAAAATGTGCAAAGTGATACCCGTGAATGCATAATCCAATCACCACATGTACAATGCCAAAACACATAACATATGAGACTATGAGTATACACAAAGAAGTGCTTTTCCATTACCTTTGGTCCCGTATACGTTGTTATCAGGAAATAGATCCTTGAAACTGAAGGAGCCCCGGTTTTGCGTTTTGGTTATGAGATGTCATTGTATAATATGAAAATTGGGTTTTACCCCTTGATATCTCGCGAAATGCCTTTTCGTCTAAATTCTAGAAAGTTATTAATGTTGATTATGATAAGATCACTTTCCTATCATTGAAGTCAGAATTGAAATTATATTGCTATGATATCGTGAATGTGGGTGGATAATAAAACCGGGAACACTCAACTGTCGGACTGCAAAACGGTCACTCAACTGTTGGTGGCAATGTAGTATATTTTCAGCGTTGACTTTGGTAGAGATGAAGTTTGGTTGTACGTCGTTCAAAAATGCCAATATCGCCCCGAGCCGTGCAAAAGGAGGAAATTTGTCTTGCACTATTAGGATAAAAGCATTGTTATATGAGAGAGCTTAAGGTAATTCAAATCGGGCATGTATGTATGTGTGAAGCAATTTCAAGTATAGTTCATGCGCGGGGTCTATACCGAGTTGGCGCAGAGATTCAAATGGTTCATACTGCAGTCGGAATTGTAAAGATTCCAAATTTTCAAAGTACTATGATTCTCTAAATGTAGTTGAATATACCAAACATATTGAAAAAAAAAAGAGTTCTTGTTGCCAGAGTGTAATCTGGACTTTTGAAAACCTTGATCAAGAAACCCTCAATCGTTAGAACAAAGCTCGATCTATTGGAAACCCTGGTCGTTGCCGACCTCATGATCACGCCCACTGAATATTCTTAGTATAGTAGATCAATTCGGTCAGGCCATATAGCAGTTTGCTACCACTACTAGCAAATACGGGAAATTCAAAAAGATTTAACCTTGGGAATAGAACGCATGAGATAATCGGGAAGCAGCTCTCTCATATGGTATTGACTCCTGCGATGTCCTGAGATTTGACACAGCTTGAATGGTTTTCCGTCTTCTTGTAGTGAGCCGAGACTGTCTATCCATATGAGCTAGACGGACTCAATCAATGACTTTAATATCCACCGACACTCTCACGAATCTTTTGGTATAATCATGCTTGAGATCGAACCATATCATGGCAGTACTACTGCCCAGATGATTGTCACGGTAGAAATGATGTGTACTTGGAGTAGAGGATTATTCATACTTGTGATCAGAAAGATACTATTTAACCTGATAGAAAGTACAAGATTAAGCTTAATATCAATCTACTCAGGTCTTGAAACGAAAATCGTATTCTTGTCAGTATGGATAATATAGATAGAGGTGTAAAGGAAGTAAGAACATAGGTCACGATTTTTAGGTCATGCGTCTCAATGGTCTTCAAAGCAGAATGGTATATAGTATCCAGAGTACAGGAGTACAATCTTTTTGTACAATTAAGAGTTTCGAGTACAATCAAACCGAGTGTCTTTATAAAAATCAATATATGAGTTTCAATAATTAGGTAGCTGCTAATCCGTTACCGAGCGTCTATGGCAAAGATACTTGAAATGACGGTGATATGAAAGTTCTCGTATGTACTAGCTAGGGTACTCTTTTTTTCTTCAATGGATGGGCGCCGAGAAGGTCTATTAATAGTATCTCTATCCCGTATTTGCTTAATAATAACTCTGTGCCTGACTTGACCACTTAAAATGTACTAAATCCGAGACATTCCTAGTGGGTAACGCTTCATTCCATACTCCTTTACGGGTACAACATACAACAATTGCAAGACTTATTACACCACCTACCTACAACCTACCCATCGTTTTGCACTTCACATTTTTCAATTTACTGTACTCATCGATAAATTGTGTGACAGTACAGTATTAAAATACCTTCGTTATAATATCCTTTTAAAAAAGTATACGACCTCACTCGTTCGGTCGTGATTCATTAATTCGAAAGAGTTTATTTAAAGAGATTAATATCCATCCAGTCGCCTTTTTGATTGTTTTCACTACGACAACCACAGCCTCAAAGTCGAATTTTGGACGGATAGTACGGAATCAACAAAACAAAACATCAGTTAAACAATCACCAATAAACCATCCAACGAGAAACGAAACATTTTTAATACGAAGTTTTTTGGTATATCAAAACATACTTCGGAGTGGAAAAGAATATTTAGGAAATCAAAGGGGAGATTTGGGGCTATTTAAAGGCGTTCGAAAATATCAACAAACACGATGCGGGCTCAACGATCATTCCAACTATATTCCATCATCTTACTTTGCTGCTTTTTCACATTTGTAGCTGCATGGCCTTGGCCAAGATGGCTACCAGAAATGGATTCTTTAATTGCAGCACGAGCGGACGACAGTTCTTCGAGCTCTTCTGCTGCTGGTAAGAATCTCACCATTAATTTTCCCAATGTTTACATACTGATATTTCAATGAAGACACTGCATCTGCCACTGCCACTACAGCACCAAAGTCTACAGAAACCGCATCAGCAACGGGCTCGGATTCAAACAATTCTCAGTCAGCAACGAAAACAAGCTCGGGCACAAATAAAGCTACCACTTCTGGAGCGAAAACGACATCAGGTTCTTCAGAATCGGGATCATCTAACTCCACAAGCAGCCATAAAAGTAGCGGTTTGACTTCCTACAATGCAACTTATGCAGTAGGGGGAATCTCAATGTTAACTCCCTCCGCTGCTTCTACCGCATACTTCAAAATTGGTGACTATGTTACCTTCGCCTGGAATTTTACATCTCTCCAAGCCACTCCCACCGCCGTCAACATTATGGCCACTTGTAAAGCCAACGCCCAGTTGTACACGATCGCCACGAACCAGACCGTTTCGAATTCCACACAAGCAGTTACTTGGGATACTGGTGCCTATCAAGCGACTGCTGTTGGAAACCCTCTTCTCACAGAAACTTACACTTTGATCATCTACGACGCAGCGAGCAGTATTAGCGCGACTGCTGCACCGGGGTACTTGTCTGTATTCAATACATATTCCTTTGGCATGTACGCACCACAACCATATACTCCGCTCAGCGATTGGGTATGTGCTACTTGCAGTGGTGCATTATCTGACATGGAGAGGAGCGCATTGAAGTTGATGTTTGGTATGGGTATCGTTACTGTGCTCAGCTTTACCTGGTTCGTGACTGGATTGGGTGTTATTTTGTAACGAAACAACACCAACACCAACAATAGGACTAATATGATTCCTATAAACTTCGGGCGTGTTGGAAGAAAACAGAGGAGAAGAATAACGATGAGATATTGGGGGGCATATGGGGAACATTCCTTTAGGCAATTTTTGAAAGTGCAAAATTCGGCTGGGTAATGGTGTTTGGGGGTTTGGGTGCATGTACACATTTTATGGATTTAGCACTTTGCATGCATGCATAGATAGCAGGGAGAAGATCACAACTACCTAATGAATGATTGAGAGCGAATTGCCATGTAACACTCAATGAAAAATGTTATATTTTGATTCCATTTTCGTGAACTTGTGCACGGTAGATCTAATCTGAGAAATCATGGGAAGTTGCTTCCTCAAATGTACAGAGCACAAATTGGTATATCCACCTATGTCTTCCTCTTAGAATATACATCTATATTGTACATTAGTTCATTCCCTATCCCACATGCTTAGAGTGGCCATCCGAATCCTCTCAGATCAGCTTCAAACTGAACCCGGCCCCTTTCTCAACATCTTCTCCCCCTCCACTCCCAAACACCCCACTAAAATCTAACACACCTCCTAGCCCTTTGGGAGCCTCTCCTCTCTGGGGAGCATCCGGTGTCCCTCTCCGCCTCTTCTTCTCCAATCCCGCTTTGCTCGGAAACGTTGGAAACATATCTCTACTTTTCATCTTCGGATCTTCTTTAAAGTATTCATGTTGCAGAACTTCCTGCGCAGAAGGTCTTTTCGCAGGGTTTAAGCTGAGGAGCGAGGAGAGCAAAGATGATCCAGCCGAGGTCAGAAAGGGGAATTTAGAGCGTAGAACCGAGCCTTGGGTGGCGGGGTTGGGATTTTTGGGGAGACGGAGAGAGCGTGCGTTGGGGAGGCGTTTGAAGGTGGGCCATGTGGATTCGGTAGGGAGGCCGAGGAGTTCGAATATTTTGGATAGTTGGTCGACTTCGTTTTTCCCGGGGAGTAATGCGTCATTGCTGAGCAGCTCGCCAAATATACAACCGACGCTCCACATATCTACACTCTTGCCATATCGTTCTTCCCCAAGCAAGAGCTCGGGACTGCGATACCAGAGGGTAACAACTAATTGGGTCATTTTGGGGGCCGGGTCGCCGCAGTAGCGGGCCATACCGAAATCGGCAATTTTGAGGACCCCCCGGTTGGAGAGCAGGAGGTTGGAGGTTTTGAGGTCGCGGTGAAGGATGTAGTGGGTATGGAGGTAGGCGACGCCTGTTGTAAGTTGCTGGAGGAGGAGCTTAAGTTCGGAGGGGAGGAAAGGTTCCGAGAGGGATGTGAGGAGGGTTTTGAGGTCGTGTTCGAGGAAATCGAGAACGAGGAAAATACTGAGGGGGGTGTGTATGTTAGCTATGGTTTCCTGTAAAGTGTGCAAACCGAGAAAACAAAATAGAAATGTAAGAATTAAACGGTAGAAGACATACTTCTCAATCTTACTCGTATCCTCCCCAACGACTACCTCTCTCAACCTCACAATATTCTCATGCTCACAATTCATCAACGTTTGGATTTCCCTCAAGCCCGTCACCGGCACCCCATCATTCGCATTCTCCATCTTCAGCCGTTTCAGCGCGACAACCTTCCCTGTCCGACTGTCCTTTGCGCGTGATACCCATCCATACGCCCCTTCTTCTATATCATTCAGCTTCTCATAATCCTCCACGCTGCGACATTTTCCCCAATTGGGCGCTGGAAATCGGAGTAGTTTGGCTGGTGGTAAATTGGGCTTTTGTACAGGCGCCGGAGAGGGCGATAAACGGCGACGTTTCGAAGGTCTCTCGGAGGAGATTTCTGATTCGGGGGGAGCATGAGCATGGATTTCTGCGGCAGCTTGCTCATCGAGCTTCCTCTGTTTTTCCACCTTCAATCGTTTCTTTTCTTCCTTTTCGCGTTTGTGCTGCAGATCAAGCGCAGCGTCTTCTTCGTCATTTGCCCAACGCGACTTGACTTTGCTCGACATAATTGTAGCGTGATGGTTATGCGATCTCAGCCTTCTGCAGAGTAAACAATTGAAGGTCAATACGCCCCTCTCGCGGATCCAACAATGGCTCTCTCAGATTCGACAAGACGGATTTTATTGAGGTCGCGGAGCCTTCCTCTTTCCAAAGATGTAATAAAAATATGTACTTCAGGAAATGCTACAATTTTGATTATCACCACAGATGTACAACGAAACCTTTTGGGAGTGACAAGGTAGGTTGTTGGTGATTTTTGACATCGAGGCTGAGGGTTCCCAAAATGACGACGAGGCCAGGAGGCGAGGCTTTGATTTTTAACTTTTTACACCTTTTTCTTATTTTACTCTTGCAATGAAGTTAAGAAACAGTCATTTGTGCCGATAACAAGACAAAGTACCAATATGAGGTCTAGATTACTGTTACAGTCGCGCAACTCTTTGCGTTATGTTGCAAAATGCAGATATGGAGCTTCATATTCGGCTCTGAGATGGTCTTCAACAGAGACGAGGCAATGGTCTACACCCCTTGCGAAGCAGCTTTCTGAAGCTATCACAGTATGCTTTTCCTGTTCTGTTTGATACTTCAGCACTTTGCTAAGGTAGTTTTAGGCTACAGGACCAATTCCTTTGGCATCGTTCATGCGGATGTGCTTGACGTCCGATGTAGGTGGATATTATACCTCGACACAAGAAGGGCGAGATCAGTTCGGACAAAAGGGAGACTTTATCACCTCGCCAGAAATATCACAGATCTTTGGAGAACTGGTTGGGATCTGGTTTGTGGCCGAATGGATGGCCCAAGGGAGTAAAAAGATGGGTGTTGAATTGGTGGAGATAGGTCCGGGGAGAGGCACTTTGATGGATGATATGTTGAGGGTGTGGTTGAGATATTCATATTGTAGTTCTGGATGTGGGCTAATATATTGTATAGACAATCAAAAATTTCAAATCAATGGCGGAGAGTATTGAAGCCGTGTATATGGTTGAAGCAAGTCCTGCTCTAAGAGATGCGCAGAAACAGCTTCTGTGCGGGGATGCGCCCATGATAGAGACGGAAACTGGATTCAAAAGTACTAGCAAGTATGCTGGTATTCCTATAATGTGGACAGAGAATATGCACTTCGTACCTTCTAGTAGGTTTTATGCGAATCCTCCCCTCTCACCCACAATAATTCTACTAAACCTCCCCAGGCGCGGACAAAACCCCATTCATCGTAGCCCACGAATTCTTCGACGCCCTCCCAATCCACGCCTTCCAGTCCGTACCTCCAAACCCCAACGCCACAGAGTCCACCACAATTCGAACGCCCACTGGCACTCATCCACTTACACCTTCGACCTCCAAATCATCCACAGCCAAAACTCCTCAATGGCGCGAAATGGTTGTCTCGCCCACCCCGCCAAATTCCATCCTCACCGATGTTCAAACCCCAAAATCCCTCCAAAACCAATCCTCTCCCCTTGAATTTCAACTCACGCTCTCCAAAACCTCAACCGCGCACTCACTCTACCTTCCTGAACTCTCTGCTCGCTACCGAGCCTTGAAGTCTATACCCGATTCGCTTATCGAGATATCTCCCGAAAGTCACGCTATCGTTGCAGATTTCGCAAGCCGAATCGGTGGTTCAAAAACGAACCCAAAAACTAATCCTTCGGGCGCTGCTCTAATTTTGGATTATGGTCCTAGTGATACCATTCCCATGAACTCACTCCGGGGTATCAAAGCGCATCAACGAGTTTCTCCCTTTAGCGAACCAGGAATTGTAGACCTCAGCGCAGACGTAGATTTCATAGCTTTAGCCGAGGCAGCCATGAATGCGAGTGAAGGAGTGGAAGTGCATGGGCCTATGGAACAAGGGGGGTGGCTGGGAAGTATGGGAATTAAAGAACGAGCAGAGATGCTAATAAAAGGGTTAGGAAAGAAAGATGATGAGGTTAAAAGTAGGGTAGAAGGAGCTTGGAGGAGATTAGTTGATAGGGGAGGAAGTGGCATGGGAAAGGTTTATAAGGTTATGGCTGTGGTCCCCGAGAATGGGGGAAGGAGGAAACCGGTAGGGTTTGGTGGTGGGGTGGTGGATTAAATGATTAATTTCAATGTACATATATATTAAATGCTTGACGGTGTAGCAAGTTACATTATGTAGAATGTATCATAGTCGTACAACATCAAATACCCAGTGTAAGTTATACAATGTACTCGAGTACCTCTGTAATCCTTTCTTCATTGTTTGAAAAAAATCAGAGTTTCCATAACTTCCTACTTGTCTCCTAATTATCGCAAATCGAAGTTCAAAATTAGTTCTTCCATTCCTAAGCATTATCAACCTCAGCTCGATATAGAGTGATGGCATAACAGTATTAATATCTGGATCATAAATAAAGATCCAAGAGTGTTTGTCTGATGTACTTCGTACTAATAATACTATAAGATACACAGAACCTACTTATTATCTCGACAAAAAGTCAAGGTGGGATGAAAAGGGCGGCAGTATCATGTGTAGATTTCAAGGGCTTTCTTTCATATAGATATTGCAGAAAATTGTTGTAGATGTACTCGAGTATGTAAAAAGAGATATCTATCTAGTAGGGGGCTCGCTTAAGTAATATACTCCAGTAGTAGTATCAAATGTAGGGTTTGAGATGGACCGTGACAGCCGAGAAAACTCCTATGAAGGGTTGAGGATATCACTGTATATGTACTAGATAGGCCGCAAAGCTATTGTAGCTTTTCAATGAATTGGTATAGAATAAATAATCTTTTGATTGTTTCGGTCTATTGATGCCTGATTTTCTGATATTGGATTTATAATCGTATTAATGTTTAGATATAGAGATATGTTGGATGCTCACTTAGTATAAGCAAATCAAATAAACTTTACACTTTCCGCGATAATAGTGACATTTGCTGCCGAATTGCACTTTTGAATTCACTTTTAGATTCACGCTTTCTCGGATCTGTTCATCTAATCTCATCTCCAAATCTAGTCTTCACCTTCACCTTCACTACAATCCTCACAAGCTTATAAATTTGCCATTACACCTCTTCAAAATATATCGTATTCTTTTATTCAATACCAAACCCAAGTAAGTTATATTTCATTCACTCATCCTAATGAATTCACGTTTCACTCGCCTATAGCCCAAAAATATCTAATGTCACGGTTTAGTACAATATCTGTCTCCATATTATTTATCGTTGCTTCTCATTTTAGTTGATCTGATACGGTATTTATTACATGTATGGGCTTCTCATTTTACTCGAGTAGTTGATCTGAAACCATATATATGTCACGGTGCTATCTAGCATCCTCATCCACGTCACGTAGGCTTCTCAAAATAACGTCATCTAGTATACCAAGTAAGATTGAGATTCTATAGATCAACAAAAGTCACAATATGAAGCTAGTTATCAGATACTAATGACAAACTAGAATCTACTATGTTTTTGTATTATTTCTACTAATGCAGATAGTCTTGATATTTGTTTTAAATAGACTACGCAACGAGTTACTCACGGGGCGTGTTATTGATCTAGTGGGTAACCCGTAGGTTTATTTATTAGATTATAGATTATATTCATTATATAAACTAATGAATTATTTATTAATTAAATAGATTATCTACTAATTTGTATAGAAAATCCACTAATTTGTAACCTACAGATGACTCATCAATTACAAATAACTCACAGAGTATATTGTTTTGAAATCCGATCCTAATAGATAACTCACAGATTGCGAGTTGTTTTTGCGCAGTCTGTTTGTCTAGTTTCTTATTAGTTCTAGTTGTATATCTATTAAGGATAGAAAAGTTTTGCTCGGAGCGAGATGCCAGTTGTATACTGCGTATACTGAGTATCTATACGAAGTTTCCTTCGAGACTAGATATCAATTCACCAATTCACTAATTCACTAATTCATTAACTAAATAAAGTCTATCTAGAAATCCTGCTAGTAAACTATTAAATTCTTTAATCTTTATTACTTTTTATTATATATCTAAAAATTATATACTAGACGGTTCTAGACTCTAGTATATTTATTTCAATGTTCTAGCCAATTATTAGTCCTATGTTTTAATAGCTAATCTATTTACAAGTAATTAGTAGATGTTTAATAAGTGAATTATAAATATTAATTCAAATTTAGGATATTAATCAAAACCAAAAAGAACAGAGTAGTAAGTACTACAGAGGGAATAGTTTTAGATGATTTAGATAGATATAGTCTGAAATCTGATTTATAGCTTGATCTAGATAGACCTGTAAAAGCTTGAAGTAATTAGGTCTTCTATTAGACATTATCAAATTTATTAGAGTTTAGATAGTTAGTTGAGAGCTACTCGAGTAGAGTGATTCGGAGTATGATTTGTAAATTAGATATTATTTACTCTATATAAGAGTTGCTATTGTTCGATTGAAGAAATCTTAAACGATTCGGATGTTATTATCAAAATATCAAGGAATAAAGTTATAATAACCCCGCTTAATAATACAATACATCCATTAATCAATCCACTAATCACCAATCTTCAAATCCTTAAATACCTTCATATTATCCCTAATAGCAATTTCCACAGGCAACCTCTCCATACTACTCGCCCCAAAAAACCCATGAATCCCCTTCGTCCTCGCCAATACATATTCAACATCTTGCACCCCCGCCACCGGTCCCCCATGACAAAGCACAATAACATCCTCTCGAACCTCCACCGCCGCATCTCTAATCTGCTGAATCACCTCCACACATTCATCCAAGCTCCTCCCCGTCTTCGCACCAATCGTCCCACTAGTCGTTAATCCCATATGCGCCACCAATACATCCGCACCCGCTTTCGTCATTTTGACTGCATCTTCGGCAGTGAAAACATAAGGCGTAGTAAGTAAATCTTGTTCGTGCGCTAACCGAATCATCTCAACTTCGTTATCATATCCCATACCCGTTTCCTCGAGATTCTCCCGGAACCGCCCGTCGATAAGTCCTACGGTGGGGAAATTTTGCACGCCGCAAAATCCGAGGGTCTGGAGTTGCGTGAGGAAGGTGGGGATGTGGCGGAAGGGGTCAGTGGCGCAGACGCCGGCGAGCACACCTGTGTCTTTTACTATGGGGAGGATTTCGGAGGCCTATGGTACAGTGTGAGTGTTGTTTTCCAATGAGATGCGCGGGTATTGGGATAAGGGGGTGGAGCAGTAGATGATAAAATACGCACCATCTCGACAACAACTTGATTAGCATCTCCATATGGCATAAGACCGGCTAGCGAACCACGTCCTGCCATACGAAAATGACCAGAGTTATATATGATGATGAGATCTGCACCACCTGCTTCTACGGACTTGGCTGAGAGACCAATTCCTATCTTTCGGTTAGTTTTTGACTTAAGGTTATTGGGTGGAATATTAGATGTGGACAAATGTATGATTTACCGGCTCCGGCTCCTATAATTATCTTTTTGTTTTTGACTGTATCTTTTAGTCTACTTAGGACAATATCGCGAGTTGTGGCTTTGGTCATTGTTATAGAGTTTTGATGGAGTCTTGTATACTTGGGTACTTGTGTACTAGTAGGATTAAATCGATGTATAGAAATGTCACGATATGATGATGTGAAAAGAAAGAAAATAAACTGGCTTTATATTTTTATATCTTTCTGACACAATATAATACTCGAGTATATAAATATCGGTTAATATCAACTAAAAGCATATAATACCCTGTCTACATTACCCCTCTTTAACCCCTCATTGTTATCAGCATTCATCTGGTTGAGTGCCGGCCCGCATATTAGCTGCAACTTGTACTTAAAGCTATTGTGGGGAAGAAGTTAAAGTCATTGTTTTACTAAGGAACTGATTCATTTATTTACGAGTATTACAGAATTGGATGTTATTGGCTTTCTGCCTTTCACATCAGTCCTCGCTTTATAAGCTGGGTGCATTCCAATGTATGTAGCTAGAAAACGGAACATTATAAATGGTTCGGTCAAGCTGCCGTAGTACCGTAGTTACATAGTTGCACAGCTGATACAACTGATCTATCAAAAAGGTACTAGGACATTTCATACATTCCCTCTTCCCTATAACAACTTCAAAAACTTTCAGCTCTAGCTCTTCTCACAGTGATTGACTACAACAAATACCTAACCACTATAACTGCCCCTATACCCACAAACCATGAGCAAAATGTCCAACCCCACCATCCTCCTCCTCGGAACCCTCAATTCCAAACGCGAAGAGATCCTCTACCTGCGCCAGCAAATCCTCACTCACTCCCAACCCCACACTCGAATTCTCCTCGCCGACGTCGGACACAAGCCGACCTCTGATCCCGCAATAGACATTCCCCAATCCAAAATCCTTTCCCATGCCTCTACTCGTATCTCCACTAATTTTCCCACCCTCTCTCGCTGTGAATACATCGCGCACATATCCAACTGCGCCACCAATCTCGTGCGCGAACTCTTCGAGAAAAGATCTTTTCATGCGGTTATTGGACTGGGTGGATCGGGAGGAACTTCAGTATGCGCTTCTATTATGCGCGACGCATTACCTATCGGATTCCCCAAATTGATCGTCTCGACGATGGCGAGCGGGAATACAGTGCCGTATGTAGGAGAAACGGATATCGCAATGATGTACAGCGTAGTTGACATTGCGGGAACAAACTCGATCTTGAAAGGAATATTAGATAATGCAGCGGGAGCGATTTCAGGGTTAGCTCAGGCGTATTGGAAGAGATGTAAAGAAGAAGAAGAATCGGAAAATAACAAGCCGAGAAAAAAAGGAATAGGATTAACTATGTTTGGAATCACAACACCATGCGTAGAGAATGTAAAAGAAATTCTAGGAAATCACAACAAGGAAGAGTACGAAATATACATATTCCACGCCACCGGAGCAGGTGGAAAAGCCATGGAGCGATTAATCCGCGAAAAACGCATCTTAGCCGTCCTCGACATCACCACGACCGAAATAGCCGATTACATCTGCGGTGGCATATTGTCCGCGGGACCCTCACGACTATCCGCCGCAGCAGAGATGGGCATCCCTCAAATCATCAGCGTAGGCGCGTGCGATTGTGTGAATTTTGGGCCGCGAGAATCGCTTCCTGAGAATTTTAGCGAGAGAGTGTTGGTGCAGCATAATCCGGACTTGACGTTGATGCGAACGAATGCGGACGAGTGTGCTGCGATTGGAAGGTTTATTGCGGCGAAATTGAGGGAGAAGGCGAGGAGGAGGGAGTGCGTTAAGGTATGTTTGCCGAGGAGGGGCACGAGTTTGTTGACGGTGGAGGGAGGTCGGTTCTATGATGTTGAGGCGGATAGAATGTTGTTTGAGAGTATTAAAGATGGGTTGCATGGAACGGGAATTGAGGTGTTGGAGAAAGACTGCGCTGTTAATGATGAGGAATTTGCTTACTTTTTGGTGGATCAGCTTATGCATCTGATTTCGAAGATATCGTGAGGATATGGATGTTGACAGAGGAGACGTGAATTCATTTTATACCCCGACAGAATAGCCAGCTATCGATTTCTTCTACTCGAGTACAAGAGTTTGCATTTCCGAATGCACTTGGAATATGCTCAAAATACTATTGTCCAGAATCCCCCTCCTTTATTGCATATCTGCTCGATGTCTAAAGTATATCCAGATAACAGGAGAATTTGTCCATGCGGGATCAGGCGAGAGTTGTTGGACTGTTACTCACGGTGATACAGATTCGAAAAAGAACTAACGTGTCGTTCTTGAATAGAAGCTCTATTGGAGGTATGCTCAAGAAGAAACAGGGTATAATATTCGCTATCAACTCGACTATCCAGTAAGATTCTTGCATCACGATAAACTTTTTATCGTCGCTGATCCATGCGAGCAAGGTATAAATATGACTCCCCCTCTCACATTCATCATTCGTTAACTCATGCACCACTCCACCCCCTCCTTAGTCCATATTCGCATAACATCCAATGAAAACACACACACCCTAGGTATACCCATCCCATCTAAACCGAACGTTCACCTATCTAACTCCAATAGAAGTACAGTACTCGAGTACACCCACAGAACATAAGTTCAAGCTCGATGCCTAACCCAAAGCCAAACCAATTCGAATAATTCATGATTGTTTTTGTCCCAACTCCAAATCACCTTCATACTCATCATCCCAATCTGAACCAAAACCGACAATCTTCCTGCCTACGAAGATCCCCACAGCAGTTCCAATACTAGCAACTAGAAACCATCCCTCAAACCACGTGTCCACAAATCCTGGCTCCAATGGACTACCCAGCGCATCGCTTACCACGCTTTTCATCTCCGATGGAAGGTTACTTCTCAGAAGTAATGCGCTAGATATCACATACATTGCGCTGATTTGGGCAATGATGAGTGCCAAATTGGCTTGAGCCTGGTAGACGAGCGAGGGAGAGATTTTAGTGAGCATATGGAAGGTCTGAAGTACAGAGTTGAAAGAAGCGAAGAGGATTATGGCTGATAAGAAAAAGGATATTTGGCGAGACCATGCCAACTGATCGAAAGTTGGATTCACGTGCTTGGCAAATAGAGAAAGAATACGATTAACCGGATCTGTGGTCGAGGAACTGAAGGATGCAGGATCGGTTGGTAAAACAAGACGCCTAAGTACGGCCAGAGTAGTTGTTCCAATGCGATATATACAGTATACCGAAAAGACATAAGAGATAGGGGTGAGGATGAATTTACCGAGTGGTGAAGAGGAGCGTTGTTTTGATGTATAACGGTTTTGCAAAATTGATAGCGAGGCCGAAAGACCTCGAGCCATAGATGAAAGTCCAGATGTTTCCAGCTCCAGAGACTTCAACTCTTGTACATCAGCGTTCCCCCGTATACTTCCAATAACCTTTGTCATAAATCCTTCAGCTGGTTGATCATCAACTTTGCGCCGAAGAGCTCGTAATCGACTTTGTTTTGTAGCAAGCATATCATTCGTAGCGTCTAGGCCAGCTTGTTTCCGCGCAATATCGGCTTCCGAAACAGGTTTCTCCTTTGCGCCAAATGTTTGCCAAGGGGCAGAGACAGCTGCAAAACCAGAAAGAAGTGCCATTAAAGAGATACCAATGATGCCAACTCTATCCAAGCAAGCCTCAGCAAGGCTTTTACCGGGTACAGATGCCATTGTATGGATATATGTTCCCGGTATCCCTTTCCCCAGCCACCAAAATCCCATTAACCACATTGTAAAACCAACAGCTTGAAGAAGCCAGGAGGTTATGGAAAATCCGTCTTTTTTCGATGCCCTAAATTTCCATCCAAACCCAGTAATAATCGATTGCAATTCGAGAAATGGTATAAGAACAACGAGTAGAAATAAAAGTGTAGGAACAGTTATCTTGAGCGCAAACGCCCTCGCCGCAGGATTTAGATAATTCGAGATTTCGCAAAGGATCAATTCTGCAAGAACTGTCGCCAATGCAATCGTAGTAGAAAATGAGATAGCGATAGCTTTTCTCCTCGCAGTCTTTTGGCCATGTTCTTTATGCGATTGTCGCAAACTGGGTGGGGCATCGCTAGGAAGGTAGTGAAGATGATCTTCCTTAGACTGTTGTAGACCAGCTAGCAAGGGAAAAAGCTTTTGTAGAACGACGAGACTAACAACAAGAAATGTGAGGATTAAGGGGACTGAAGAGAAGGCGAGTGTCGAGAATGATGCAGAACTCAAAGAGCGATTCTGATGACCTGGCATGACACAGGCGTCGTCGCATTTATCGTCTGGAAGTATGGGCATTGATTGCATAGGTAGACTAGGTAGACTAGGTAGATTAGGTAGGTAGGTAGACTTGGTATCTACCTTTACATTATAGAAATCGATTCTCATGAGGTAAAGCAAATAAGATTTTCCATGTAGTTTGATAGATATGGTTTCTGTCTATTTGCATATGAAACTGGAAAGGGCGATTGGATTGGCGACCGCGCGTTCGAAACTGATAAGATTGTGATAATCTTCACGTGATACCCCGAGCAAAGGAGGGGGTGTACTATTTTAAGAACGACCCCTCTCAAAGCCCACTTTCCTTGTTAGACTAGTAACTAGTTGGAGTTGCAGACTTTAATCTGTGGATCACCCTTAGACAAGACTATAATTAAGCTAAATTTTCAGACGCTATTAATTCTCCTGTTACAGTATTTACCATATTATGTATGAATCTGTATCTGTCTACTCGTATACTACAGGATTGTAAGTGTGCCCTCCTAGTCATCTACATTTACAATGAAAACCACAATTGCAGTCAGATCAATTACAAATCCGAAGTAGAAACAGACCAACCGTCAGGGGTATCCGAAGCAGAAAGATACAAAGATACATACAGATATGGGTATCTGAGTATCGCCGTCCCTGAATGACAAGAACTCCTTGCTTTAACGCCTACCAACCCTGATACGACTTAGCTCGAGGTAAGTAAAAGTATTGACCAATTTTCAATCCCTTTGGATATATCGTATATTTTGCCGGGTCGACAGATCAACAGATCAACAGGTCGTATATCTTTCAAGATGATGATGCCATCGTCATGAAATTAGGCGACAAGTCCGACTTGTGGAATCGTCTGCATTACCGAAGTAACCATATTCTCAATCTCTGACTCTGATACATCCTCCTCCCTATCGATGTTAAGAAGCTGGAAACGATTTACCAAAGGAGTCTTCTTCTTCGTGGCAGGAGGATTGTCGGAATGAACACTTTGACGTCTCTCCAGTGGGGCTGCACATTCATCATGACCCCATTCGATTTTTGAACCTTTGTATGTGCTGAAGAAGAGTTAGCAAGCCCCAGAGTGTTGGTTGACCCCAACATACCTGCGACTCATCATGCAAGTGCGAGCAAACATTGCATTGTGAACAGAGTTTGTCGAGATGTAAGCGTTGGAACCATTGAATGTAACCTTGATTACAACGAGATTATGGATATGCTCGAGGTCATCACGGATAACTTCCTCGGTATGTTTGGGGTTGCAGTTGTGAATGACAAGGTTCCTTGTAGCTCCGATGCCTACTTTGTTTGCAACATGGCCCGGTAGTATGAATTGCCTATCATTCCATCGGATATCGACCTACTGTATGTCAGTTATTCGGGTCATGATGCAGGTTTAGAAAACACACCCTCTTTGATCGGATATACAAGTCATTACGTTTGACATGGCGAAAGAACTCATTGGCATGGGCTTGTTCCAGGAAAGATACACTCGCAGCACGATCATGAGTGCGAAGATAGATATCCAGCAACATTCCTCCCCTAACAGCATCGCAAATGTCTGCATGTGTGGTACCATCTGGGAGATTGAACAATAGTACAGTGCGCTGGGCAAATTTTTCATGAGTTGGACGTTGAGGCCTGGTCTGCGAATTGTTTCCACTTTCAAAATCGAAGGTGTCCATACCATCTGGACTATTAAATTGGTCGTCGAAACCATTGGTATGCGAATGATTTGGGAAATCTTGATACCGGAAGGTATGATTTTGGAAGCTTTTGTAGTCTTGAGGACGACGGGGAATAAGTGTGCCATTTCGAGGTGTGCCATATGTATAAGCTTGGTGGCCGTTGGTGTCCTGAGTCGATGAGGGAGGAATCTGTGTCATGAAGGCAGTACTGTTGTCGGGATCTTCATGTGTCGCAGGAATAGTCGAGGTTCCATTCTCATCAGGGTTCGTATCATCCTTGATCAAGATCTGCGGAACTGAACTCAGTAACAGAAATAGGTAGGTGCCTGGACACCGCGATAACTTCAAAAACTCACATTCAAAGTCTCCTCTGCAATCCCACCTTTATAAAGGTTGCGTCGCAGATTCTCTGAAACATTGAATTAGTCTCTCATATCTATCGCAGTGCGATCTCACAGATTGATGAACAGGTGGCATACCATATTCAAGAGTAGATTGTATCTAGCATATGAGTATTAGTTGAGGTTTGTGTGAATCTACAATCTGTAAGATGCTTACTTACCAGTTCATTATGAACTTTCTTGGAGATTGTGACGGTATCGGATTCATAAGAGGTAGTAACATCACTGTTCTCCGAAGTATGCTACACATAAACAATAAGCATTCGATAACTCCAAATATCTCTTGATAGCTATCGGCATCAACATACGAATTGAGCTCTATTGTGGGGTAAACGGGTCAGTGATTGCTTCACGCAGCTAAGACATTTCGTACAGGGTATGAAGTAGATCATTTACCTTCTCAGCAAAGTCTCCAAATAGATCTTTTCAATAGTTACCATAGAATTATCAGTTGCCATCTTGAAGGAGATAATTATTTCGTGTTGAATACAATCAAGTATTCAACACACGTTCCTCAAGTTGGATGAAAAAGGAATGAATTTGACAGATGAAAGTTAAAGTTTTAAAGGTTTCTCAACTTGGCCTCCCATATGAGTTAACAGTTGGTTCGGGGGGGCCAAGCTAAGCCAAAGAGCCAAGACAAACCACTTCGTTTAAATATTTAAAGTTTTACACCAATCAGGATTTGTTTTAGCTGAATGCAACTAAACTTTAAAGCTTGGACAGAGAGGAGAGGAGAGGAGAGGAGTGAACATATCAAAGTGGGTTTGATGTTTGATAAGCTTACCTTACCTAAACATAGATTAATAATACCCTCTAGGCAACTGATATGATATGAACATAAGATGACTCCTATTTGAGTTGAGTTTATATTGAAAACACTACCTATATATAATATATATAGTCGGATACGAAATGCTCGGATACAATTGCGAGCAAACTAGCCCGGTATCAATTTCCCTATGAGTCTATCAATATCTATATAAAGTATTCCGATATCCGACACATTGGATGAACCCCTTTTGATGTAGTATGTAACGAGGGGAGGAGGGGAGGAGGGGCAGCTAGATTGTAGATTGATGGATCCGAACTATTTTTGCAAGGAAGACTTCGGAGTTCGGACACCGACCTAGTACCTGCTTACCTGCAATTTTAACCTGCAGCCCTAAATGGAAGGTCATCTCTTTTAAGCTTTTGAGTTGATGAGGTTATCCAGATTAGGTGGATTGGGAGATCGGTGTGAGTGAGTGTTTATATTGTTATTGTAATTATTATACTATATAGTTGGGTCTCAGTGAACACAGTATAATCGATCAGTAGTGTTGAAGATATAATACATATAACCGATCAGAAGTGTTGAGGATATAACGATATTGAAGTCAGTAAAGTGAGTGAAGTGATCCGGGGGGCGGCCAGCACTGAGTGGTGTAAAAATGTTTGACTTTCTAGCAAGTTGCTGGTAATGAACAATACAAACAAACGGTTGGATTATGAGATTAGCTATATATTAGTTTGTCTAACTATTTATCTTGTTTATCCAGCTTTGCTCCTCTGTTTCTTTGATCTGTGGCTCTTTGTTTGGTATACTTAATAAGCAACTGCTGCTAACTAGAGACAACCTCCTCTACCCTGTTATACAACTAACACAACCTTTAACGATATAAATTAAACCGCCAGGAACCCCTCATCCAACCAATTGAATCCCTATCGCCCATCTACCAACATCCTCACCAACTCCAGCATGGCATCCCCAGCCCAATCCCCATCCACCCCCGCCCCCAACACCCAATCCGTCACCCAATGGCTCCAAAAAACCGGATACCCCAACGGAATCCCAGACTTCATGCACGACTACGGATTTGACTCCGACGAACAAGACGACGCCCTTCATCTCCTCCACCAATTCCGAAACGAACAACAAGCATGGGAGAAAACGCACCACCACAGGCACGAGAAACCGAGTCCAGAACGGGTCAAAACTTCTAGCACCGTGTTGGGAACGAGTATGCTATTTCGTTCCTCTTCCTCCTCTGATGCGTCTCATGTTTCGAACAACAAGAGGACGGGTATTGCAATGCTGTCGTTCGATGAGTGGCATCATGAGTATAGCGTTTCGAAGAAACGTACGGGTACGGGAACTCCCACTTTCAAGGGAGACAAGTAAATAAAACGATATTCTAAATATCCCAAAACAATTTCGAAACAAACAGCGAGAAGCATGGAAGGAATCACACAACAAGGAACCGAGATGAAACTATCTAGTAGCAAAAGGACCATGCTTAAAAATCGACGGATATAATAAACTGCACTTTCTATCTTTCCATCTTTCCATCAATTCACCAGATGTTTCATCAAAATACACGGGAAAGACAACTCACAAAAGGGACATGACCTCGAGTAACGTGCTTTCTTTCTTTGGCTTAGCTGGGGGTGGTTAAGGCTTGAGTTGAGTTGAGCCTTAAAAAGTGATGTTGGTTAGCACCAGTATAACATAACAGAACAGAAGAACTTGCATTAATATATTCGAGTAAATACTCGCTTCACCTCTTCATAATCATACTCATATTCCTACTCCACAAATAAAGTGATACAAGTTCATTTTAGCACAATATAATACATACGCACATACTACCCCCGCCTCACCTCACCTCACCTCATCGAATCTCACCCCCATCTCCAAAAGAGAAAGCAATTCAATTCATCAATCATCTCAGCCCATTCCAGCCAAGTCCTTCTAAATAAGTCCTCGCAACAAATGCCATCTCACAAAACAGAGTACGAGAGTGAAGTTATTTATGCCTTGATCTTAAGCTTTGATGCTTATGTTTCTTCGTCATGCATTTAGCATACTTGAGTAAACCCCGCCCCAGCATCACGGTCCTTCCTTGCCCTGTTCCACGATCATATATCTGGATAAGTTATTGATGAATAAACCATCCTATACAAAGCCGCCATCCATTTCCATTCCTCCCCAGCCTCTGGAATCTTATATTTTCAAATGACGATATCTATGCAAGAGGACTAGGATTCTCAGTCGGCGAATCTGTGATTTCGGTCGCTGGTGGCGGTGGAGCGCTCTTTCCAAACGATCCTCCACCAAAATATTTGACAAAATCTTTATTTTCATCAAACGGTCTTGGTCCCAACAACCTCACCATATCATCTCGACCCAAGACCTCCTTACTCAAAAGTTCCTCGGCAATAATTCCCACTTCAGCCTTCTTCTCCTCCAGTAGCTTTCTACATTTTTCATATGCTTCGTCGACGATGCGTCGAACCTCTGAATCGATAATCTGGGCTGTGGCTTCGGCAAAAGGCTTCGTGAGTTGATTTTCTTTATCGGTCTCGAAATGAAGGGGGCCGAGCTTTTTAGACATGCCCCATTTGGTGACCATAGCGGTGGCCATCCGAGTAACTTTATTGAAGTCATCGCTAGCACCACTAGTGACGGTCTCAAAATGGAGTTCTTCGGATATACGTCCACCAAGAGTCATAGCCATACGGTCCATAAGTTGGTTGACGTTCATGAGATAAGTGTCGCCGGCAGGAAGGTATTGTGCGTATCCAAGGGCGCCTTGACCACGGGGGATGATAGAAACCTTGAGGAGTGGATCAGCCCACTTGAAGTACCAACCGCAAACGGCGTGGCCTGCTTCGTGATAAGCGACTGTCTTCTTCTCTTCCGGTGATAGAACGAGAGATCTTTTCTCGAGACCACCAACGACACGCTCAATGGCTTGTTCGAAGTGCACTATGGCGACAGATTTGGCCTTTGTTCGAGCAGCTATTCCCGTCAGTACTAGTACTAGTACTAGTAAAAGGAAAATAGGGGAACATTATTACTCACCAATCAAAGCAGCTTCATTGACACAGTTGGCAATATCAGCACCAGAGAATCCAGGAGTCATGGCTGACAATCGTCCAGTCAAGTACTCGATGTTTTCATTTGTGACAATCTTGCCCAAGTGAACCTTGAAAATTTGCTTTCTACCATCCATCGTCGGCCTGTCAATAGAGATATGTCTGTCGAAACGACCAGGACGCATAAGAGCTTGGTCAAGTACATCTGGTCTGTTAGTACCAGCGAGAACAACAATTTGCTCAGTTGTGTTGAAACCATCCATCTCAGTCAAAATCTGATTGAGCGTAGCTTCCCGCTCATCGTTTCCACCTCCCGAAAAGCCACCAGACTTTCCACGAGACTTTCCAATGGCATCGATCTCATCAATGAAAATAATACATGGAGTACTCTTTCTTGCCATGGCAAAAAGGTCTCGAACCCTCGATGCTCCAACACCAACAAACATCTCCACGAACTCGGAACCACTGACACTGAAAAACGGTACTTCAGATTCGCCAGCTGTTGCCTTTGCTAGTAATGTTTTACCAGTACCTGGGGGTCCAGATAGAATAGCACCGCGAGGAATTTTAGCACCTAAGCGTTGGAATTGCTCCGGTGTCTTTAGGAAGGAAACAAACTCCATAATTTCTAGCTTTGCTTCGTCCATACCTGCGACATCCTTAAATTTGACCTTTACATCAGTCTCGTGATTGAATTGCTTTGCTCGACTTTTCCCCATTCCAAATATGCCACTATTACCTCCAGCGCCTGCTGAAGCTCGTTTTGACATGAAGAAAACAGCACCGATGAATAGAAGCGTAGGACCGAAAGTGTAGATGAAGGCCCATGTATCCCCATCACTAGCGTAACTAATTGGGATTCTCTCCGAGGTGGGTATTCCTAGGTCGTTTTGTGCTTGTTCCATTCGCAGCTCAAACCCTTCAGCCGAACCTATTGAGAAATAGTAATGAAAGTTGGGGTTCCCGGCCGGGGTATCGGGATACATCGACGCTGCCGCTTCGGTGTGGAGATCAACTCGAACCTTCTGGCTATTAACCACTGTTAATCTTTTGACCAATCCTTTATCAAAGAAGTTATTTCGAAATTCCTGGAATGTGATATCCTTCTTGTTCTCCCCTGGGAAGATTGTCTGCCATAAAAAGTATGTTGCGAAGGATCCAATCAATAAGGTCGTGGTATCAAGTTTCATGTCCGACGGATTACCGAAATTGAACCCTTCCTGCTTGCCACCTTTCTTTTCGCCCTGCTTGCCACCCTGATTCTGGCTTTGACCCCCCTTCTTGTCGTCCGTAGGAGGTTTGAGCTCGTTTGGGTTGAAATTCGTTCCTTGTGACGACATGTTTTTCGAAGCTGACCATGCCATCTTCAGCACTAATGTTGTAAGTTTTGCCGCCTGCATCAAAGTTATCTCTTTACCCTTCACTTCGTGCAACAAATCTCTCGTCTCGGGTGGTGCCCCTGTCCTTTGCATCATCCGCATAGCTGCTTTCATTTTTTTGGCTTGTCCTTCTCCAACTTGCATAGAAGTAACCAGTTGCTCTAGCTGCTTTGCCTCCTCCTCAGTCAATCTCACATACCCCTTCGTTAAAACCGGAGCCTTTACATTGTAAGATTGTTCCGACCCAAGGGCGGGTTTGGCGGGTAGCTCCGCGGGCTTTTGTTTTTTCGACTCTACCTCCGACTCATCCTTCTTCTTATCCTCGTCTGGCTTGGGCGGTTGAGTGGCAAATGTGCGCACCCTCTGTGCAGCTATCCGCGACCGTAATAAAGGTGCAGTCGATGATGTACGAAGAGAGTTTCGTGCGGCGGATTGAATCGTGGTCTGAGAAATTTTAGCCAGAGAGCTGCATTGCCGTAATATCGATGTCATGCTTGGCTAGAGCTGTTTGTATGATATTCGCGAGATGAACGTGGTCTGAGTCACTATAATTGACTTGCCGTGACTTCGACCACTATTTGACAGAGTTGGAGAGTATATTTCGAGGTGAGTTTTGTGGTTGTCGGAGTTAGAGGTGGGAGGCAAATCATAATGATGCTTCGATTAAGCTTGGATGATTACGAACACTAGCGCAATTTGGTAACGAAAACTCCAATAAATGGGTATATTCAATCTCAGATATTGGGAAATATTCCCCAACTAAATTTATGGAAGTAGCATCAAAATAAACATTTGAGCTTACTGTTCCACATCCATAAAGTTGTTTGTGTGTATTATTGATACAATCCCGCGTATATATTTCATAACGGAACATTGATACATTGATACATTGGTAGGGCATATTGAAGCCGTAGTATAATCCGAGGAGAGTAATAGTTTACACCCATTCCTATGAAACTCTTGAAAAGAAAGACAATCACCCCTAAAGCCAGATGAATCCCCCCAAGAAACGCCATAATCACCATGCTGAGCGAATGCTTAATGAATCCATAGTTTGTGTCACTTCTAGTCCTCCCTATGCCCAATCCTATTATAACACCTATTTACCTCCAAACTCCTTCATTTGAACGCCAGAATCCATAGACTACATTCCTCCCCCTTGGTGTTGTAGATGTGCGTTATTATTCATGTGAAGATTGGGATCACCCATGACTCCATTCTCGAAGCTTTGGTATGCGCCTCCGGTCATCTCTGCCCAGTCCCATTCGAGGGTCATTGGCATCTGCCAGAGATCCTGCGGGACAAAGGGCTGTTGAAAAGTATTTGGATTTAGTGGAGAGTTGAACTCATTGCCGTTTGTAAAGCCCTGAACACTTCCAAACGGTGTCGCCATGTTTTGACCCATGAAATCATTCCCAGAAGCACTATAATCTGGCTGCCAATTTGAGTTCGGCGAAGCTCCTTGCATGGGGCTATAACCATTCTGTAGATTCAAATGATTGGTCGAGTTAGGAGAAAAGACCCCAGGCATAGAATTTGGAGCATGATTCCTGGGAGTTTGTGGCTGACCAGCCCTAGACATATGTGACGGTTTAGCCGAGTCATCGTGACTCTTGCGCTTTCTCCTTGAAGATGTCTCCTTTTCTGCTTTGTCCAAAACAACTTTCGCAATCCTTTCAAACTCTGAACAGACCCCCAGCATACGCTTCACACCTCCATTCTCTTCCTCGGTACCCAGCATGGAGAGGAAGTTGACAACAAGGTTCATAAGACGTACATCAGAACGCGCCCGAGGGTCTTGGGGATTTTGTAGAATGTTGCCGAAAAGGGTTACAAGTGCAGAAACTGGGAAATAGAGAATAAGCCTAAACATGTTAGCTTGTAGCTGAGGTCGTGAGCGAGTCCAACTTACCAGACACAAGCAAAATCGCCTTGGGGAACATATTTGATGAGATGTATTGAAGCGCGAGCAGCAGAAACGCACAAGGCGGCGGAAGAAAAGACACGGGGATTTAAAGGTCTGGCATTCAGTCCTTGAATAGCATAGTTGGAAAGACGGCTGGTCCAGTATCCGTGATGAACAGACATTCGATGAATTGTGGTCAGGCAATTATAGTAAGCAAAATGAAGAACGACAACGTGAAGAATTAATGGAGTATGTGAAGCCTTAATCTCATGCTCTGGACGGAAGTCGACTGGGATACTATCTTTCCATTCCTCAAGTTGAGAATCAAGCTCTCCTATGGTGTTAAGGAGCTCTCCATCAGATTGTTTCGAAGCTTTAGTCGAATAGAGCTGCTTGTATACCTTGCTCTCAATGGTTGAAAACTCACACATTAAGCGAAAAAGGTTAACCTTTCCTTTTCCATCGGCCAGAGGAATATTGCCAATATTATCTTCAGGGTCGGCACTTGGTAGTTCGACATTCATATCGTCATCGTCCTGTGCAGGGGGTCTTCCCGAACGTAAACAAATGTCTTTGTCTAGCATGTAGCCTATCCAAAACACACGTTTGCGTTGCTCGATCTCCACTGGATTGAGATTGAAGCCAGATCCACGTTTATGGAGTCCAATACTGTGCGAAAGACGAATAGCAGCTGCTACAAGAAAAAATGAAGGCTGGGGATTAGGTGTACCCTGCATGAACAAGGCCATTCCCAACAGCGCCTGTACGCTTAAAAGATCAGTGTTTCGCATGGTGAGCTCGGTGAAGACACCCATGGCATTTTTGAGATAGCCCCAAGCTTTCGTGTCTTCTTCCTGTGGCACGAGATGACTCATAACACGAAGACGATGAGCGATGGCAAGTGCACAGTTGAGACTTGCCCACCATCCGGAGCCATCATAGGGGTCACTGGAGTATTGTCGGTCGACTAGATGCATGAACGTAGGTTGGTGGAAAAGTGGAAACATGCAATTAAAATTCTCGAAAAAGTCCTTGAGTAAGGATACGCACTCGTTTTTAGGGGGTAGTCGCCTCCATACCGGGCGTGCAAACAAATCTGAGAATACCTCTGGCTTCCAATACATCATCTTGTTGTCGTCCACCGAAGCGGATGAAATCATTTCCTGGAAGGATGCGTCGCCTGTTTTCTCGTTGACCCATGAGATCCCTTTTGGTGAAAATATAGAGAATCCAGACGAGGATCCTAGACTTGTCAGCAAAGCCCACTCCCACCCAGCAATATTCCATACCTATATATCGAGTTTCTCCACAGTTGTTTGTAACTAAGGAGCACATCATATCTGAAAGCGCCTCGACAGGCTCCTCTTTTTCCTCACTGTCCCGATTCCTACTAGCTTTACTATTGCGTTTCTCGGATTCTTTGTTTGATTCCGGTGATGCTATGGTACTTCGAGGGGTCGTTCCATTCGCATCAACCGGACCGCCTGGAGTGCTTTGAGTCGGGGAAGCTACACTTGAACCGGGTACAGCAGATGCTCTGCGCGAAAGGTTCTTTTCCTGTAATATCTTCTCCAATGTTCCCAGATCCGTTCGTCCGCCATCTTCTTCGCTAAGGAGACCTAAAACGTTGTTCGTCAACCATTGTAAATCCGAGCATTCCCGGATAGGTGGGACAAACCAGATAGCTTTAACAGACTTTCCATGCGACCTAGACGATTCTCGAGACCCTCAATATATTTCGCTCTGTTCGGAAATCAGCGGCCATATAAAACAGCTCATTTACCTAGAACTCTCACCCTTTTGGTGGATTCCTCTTTTTTTCGACCTGTGTAAAAACACATTCTGTTTTATAATTGATGCAGTGCGTACAAGCCGGTAACTTTCCATCGCACTTGATCTTCTTCTTCCGGCACATGTCACAAGCCTGCCGTCGTCAGCCCTGTTTACCATTTCCCTCCACAGAACATTGAATCTTACCCTCGCTATCCTCCTCCTCTTGGCCTCATTGCTTTCGTCGAGAAGGCTCCCATCACCGAAAAGCGGACCGGTCAAATCGGGTAATGTCGAGATCGGTAAACCATCTGCAGTGTAAGCCCCGAATATTTGAGGCGGGAGATTCATCAAGGGTGGCGCCGAAATCTGGGGCATAAAAGTATTGTTGTCGTGGTGCATGGAATCCATCATTGATGACTATCTCATAGTAAAATGATTGACTTTGATGAAAGGTGTAAGTAACTAAAGTCCGTTTGACAGGAGGTATAAATTGGTTTCGTATTCGTACAGCTTCTGGTCGCAATCGCTAGGGACTCGGAGTTCTTGATGAATTCCCGCTTAGTCGCAGCGTACTAATTTTTGCATCTGGGCTGTGTATTGGGTGCCGAGCTTTTTCTTTGTGACTGAGGCGCCGTTTGTGAATCCTGAAGGGACAGCCTGATGACGGGTAAAGTGGTGATGATGCTGAGATGATAATATCTGGTGGTTGAGGTCGTTAAGTGGTGGTGGCGGTGGTGTTGAAATAAAGAGTTGATCATGGAAGTGGTAACTACAAGTTCTACTAGGTATAACTATAAATGTATGGGTTGGTTTATCGAGGGGTCGTTTCGGCGGACGAGTTATTGTTAGCCTGCCTAGCTTGCCTTAATTGATGTCTGAGCTTTTTTGGATAGATCTATCTGATCTGGCATGATTACAAATTAATTAGTATAATAAAGTACCAGGTACTAGGTAGGTTTGCAGGTATAAGTCCAGGAAAAGGTATAAAGGACCAGTAGTAATTAATGAGAAATACTCAAATGGAAAACAAAGGCATTGTCTTGACAACTGAAATCTTGTTATAAAGTGTCATCAACAAACCAAGAAGGAAAGATGCTTCGATTTACCGATTCGATCATCTCACAAATTCACAACCCAAATCACCACATATTCTATTGGTTATGTATATACTCGAGTACCTAGGACCAATCTCTTGTTCCTCCTTCAAGTTGTACTGTATGTAGCATTAGATTACTTTTACATTACTCAAAGGCTTTCCATCACATGGCCAAATTGATCCAATATCTTTCCAATCTTCCAATTTTTCCAATCTTCATTTCATTTGTGACCCAATTCAAGTACCACTCCATCAAACCCGATAGTAATACGGTGACAAGTTCTAGACGCCATACCATCGGGCCAACTCGAGTACGTAGTGTTTATATGGACCAGTGAGTTCTCTAGAAGGGTTTGATCTTGTTACACTACTGAAACAAGCACTATGAAGGCGGCCCTATCTTTGATCAATAACCACTCTCGGTATCGAGTTATCTTCGCTTGGACTGAACTCAAAAGGGTACATATTACTGCAGCATCATACATACACAGCCACTCTGATGTTTTATTCACTACAGTACCAAATTTGGGCACTTTCTTTTTCTTCAAATTCTCACATTAAAGAAATATCACCGTTGCACAATGCGTTCAAGCTTCAAAGTCGCACGTCGGGTTTCATACATAGAGAAAGACATTGTCTTTTATCCCGCCCTCTGATCTTGTATTCCTAGCCATTCGCTTGATGCTACAAAATGGCGCCTATATTATCCAACAAGATCATCAAATTTACTCCAAAGAAAAAAAAGGCTGGTATCAGGTATATACTGATATCAGGAGAAATGGCTATCCTAGATCGACTACTCCCTCCCTGAGTGTGTCGAGAGGCGTCATAACGCAAGAAGCAGCAAATCAGATAAAGCTTCACGCGCTCATTGGTATCAAAAAAGTCCTGCATATCAGGAAAAAAACGCCAAACCCAAATGTAGAGTTACAGCAGATATCCAAGGACATTCCAAAGAGGTGCACTCCAAGGCGAAATCTCCACAATATCTACGAGAAAGTAAAAACCTTCACATGTATCCATGCCGGCGACCCTTCACACGAAATCCTGAACAATCTCAGGAATGTCTTATTTCAGACTTCTTCTGTAAATCTTGAGGCGTGTGAACCATCCTGTGAGGGATGAGAACGACCTAGAACGTCTGGTCTCGGCGGTATAGGTCCGGGTGGTTCTGTAAAGGGGCCATTTTCTGTAACTGCAGTTCTTGCCGGGCCTGGCCTCATGACCGGGACTCCAGAGTCTCTGTTTGAAGGTTCGAGAGGTGGGCTTGGTTGTCCTCCAAAGAATCCCTGAGAATCTCGGTAGAATGAGGTGCCACTCAAAGTATTCGGGTTAGGGATAGCTGGTACCCCAGATGGGTAGAACGATGATCCGCTCATTGTATTGGAGATTGGTTCACCATAACCATCGCCTCCATGTTGCAAAACAGAGGGAAGCTTCTTACCAGATACCCTATAAAATCCTTTCTCACTGCCGGCCGAGGAAATTGTATTAGTTGCTGTGTTTTGAGATGATCGGTTATACTTCGTCAGGTTGGCCAGCGCTGCAGGGACGGCCATAGCGAGTGATCTGCGCTCCGTCATGCTACGAGGAGCTTGGTTAGAGAGATCTCGGGATAGAGTTGCAGGATCGCTACCATCATTCCCGCCGACCCCTCCACCACCGGTCATCGTCGAAGGAGGAACACTTCCAAGTGATAACATCCCACCTTTCTTCTTCTTCCATCTCAAAACAAACATTAGAAGAAAGAGTATTGCGGCAACCCCAGCTATTCCACCAACTACGCCGCCCACTATTTTGGACGTCGTTGGTGACACACTGTCATCCGTTCCATTGCCACTCGCGCCGCTCCCAGCAATGGCAGTACTGCCTCCGGATACCGAACTAGTGCTGGTACCTCCACCGACATAGATGATACTGCTAGTAGTCGACTCTGTTTGAGATGGTGAGGAGGATGACGAGAACGAAGTTGAACTTGAGACGAAAGATGTAGACGTAGCCGAAGAAAGAAATGAAGGTGATGACGAAAAGGACGATGTTATCGTCGAAGCAAAAGTTTCGAATGAGGACGTCGAAGTTGAGTCAGCAAAAGTAAGTGTGGTAGTATTAGTTGTGGATGATGAACTAGAGACTGAAGAGGAAGTGGTCGCATTGGAAAACAATGTTGTGGAGCTTGAAACCGAGCCGGAAATGGAGACCGACACCGAGACGGGAGTCGAGCTCGGGGTTGAGCTTGAAATTACTAATATTATTCTATCAATGCATTGTTCATAGGCAATTTTTGGAGAAATATCTTACATGTAGTTGAATTAGAATTAGGAATGAGCGTAGAAGAGCTAGTGGAAGGAGTGGAAGGAGTGGAAGTCGAAGTCACATCAGTGCTCAACGGTATTGATAGTATGATTTGGCCAGACGATGTAGCTTGAGCCCCGAGATTTGTAGAAACCGCAGAAGTGATATCCGTACTTGAAGAGGTCGCAGGTGTTGTTGTTGCAGACTGTATATTCAGAGACGAGTAATCACTCGCTGGAAGGGTCTGGACCGTGAAAGTCGATCCATCGCTATTGACATCCACCTGTTGGACGACCGATATTGTTTGGATAACTTCTGTTATGGCGGATGCCTCAGCCGTAACCGTTTCAATTGCTGTTTGTCGTTTGCGTAGTTTTTGGTGCAAGTTTAAATGATTGTGATGAGATGGCCCGTATGCATACTCGTGTCTGGCCAGAATGAGTGATGGCTCAGCGTCGTTCATGGCGCGCCCTTTATTTGCAGCTGCGTCTACAGCGCTCAATGGGTACCTGATATTCAAAAGAGTGACTTCCGCCGACTTGGGACGGTGGTTATTTACAACTTCGTCGTTGCCCTCATTGCCGTCATGGAAAAAGAGGGTTGTTGTTTTTGTTTTTGTGTTTTTGTTTTGTTTTTTTTTCGTTCGTTCTCGTGAGGTTGGGGGGAGTAAAAGTGATACAAGTATAGATTTATTAGTTCACAACCGCAACTTTGCATTTCGCTCAGGTACAAAGATCAACTTTGGTTTAGTCAGATTGGCTAAGATTGGCTAAGATTGGCTAAGATTGGTTGGTATGGGACACGGGCCAAGACCAAATCTCGCTAGAGTTACCTTTGGTCCTTTTGAGAGGGTTCGTGAATAGTTAGGCTGACGAATTATCTCTCTTTATAGATTTATATCCTCAAGGATTCGAGTGGATAAATTGAATCAATTGACCAATTATAATGTGAGAAGAAAATTAAATCGAATAAAGCATAAGGCTTAATAAACTAAGGAGTAAACGTAAGTCTTATCTATTTTGTCTTTATTGGCCGTTTTTCATCTCATTGGTTTCGTTCTTCAAATGTTCTACAGGGGCTCATACATGACATGATTGATGAACATCTATGGAGTATGATAAGTCTACTATCGGTATAAGATGAGATAGATGAGGTGATGACTTGTTAATCAAAGTAGTTGTGGAGCGATGCAAAGAATACTACTCGAGTAGCACCAGTACTATACATATACTCAAGTACCTATATATATATATATATAACTCGTATAACTTTACTTATTATATAATCTCGGAGTTACGTGCCCCCTATATATGTGGATAAACACTAGAAGCTAGATGTTCCGTACTGTATCAAAAGAGAGACAATCACATCATCGTTCTGCTCATCACATCTGGGCAAATCCAAAGTTACTCCTGACATGAAATTTAAGAGGTATTTTGGGTACGAGTAGGAAGTAGTAGGAAGGAATAATTAGATTTTACTCAAACAGTATATATAGGTAGGATCAGACTTATTAGTGGGATACTTTAAGCAACAAATAACTCACTCATACCTTGACCTGAATTTTTATAAGAATGATTTCTTCTTCAAAGATCTCGTTTCGTTATGAACCATAAAAATTGCATGCATTAGTGCCAGAGCTTTGATGCGGCGGTTGCAACTCTTGCCCAGTAGATTAGGGGCGATTCGCGTTGGTGGATGTCTAATCTATTAGACCAAGACGACTTCAAGAGGCCAGACGGTACGGTAACTGATTTCATTGTGGTAATATAATATGGTATGGTGGGAGAGGAAAAGGAAGAGAGGAGGAGGATTTCATGAAGTCGATACAATGAGTACTGATATATAAGAACATTTGAAACAAAATTGTCAATCCATCATCACCAACAACAAAGATCATAAATATTTATGAAGTGATTATTTTAGAGTTACTCAGTCGTAGTGAATGTGCATAAAGAAGAACTTGCACCCCTGACGAACCTTTAAATTACATTTACGAGTAATCATCTACATACAAGTAAAAACATCAACGATAACAGTTTCTTCCTATCTAATTCACGAGCGCTTCTCTTTCCAATAAAGTGTATGTACTCAATTACTTGCAACTGATAAGTCCAAAAAGGAGTCATGGCTACTCTTGCTCAGTTGGAAGCAAAAGCTCGACAGGATCGACCAGAAGTTCCAACAATAAGATATCATACCCCGCCCCCACTTCCACCTCGAGGAGAGTCTATTCAGGCCCCTCCGCCATACACAGATGATGATGCGAAGAGGAGCGAATTAATATCAGAGCAATGGCGTTCAAATGATCCAAGATCATCTTCTACACATTCTTTAGTACCTTCAGAATCTGACCGAGATGGCCGTCGCAAATTATTACTCGTGTATATTCACGGTTTCATGGGCAACGAAACCAGTTTCCAAAGTTTTCCTGCTCATGTTCATAACCTTCTGAGTATCACGCTCGGAGCAACTCATATTGTCCATACCAAGATCTATCCTAGGTACAAGTCCAGAAAAGCTATCGATTTTGCCCGAGATGATTTTAGCATTTGGTAAGTACTCCTCTACACGTTATGTTACTATTCATCGCTGACTAAGGGTTGTTGTCAGGTTAGAACCCCATGAAGATTCTTTGACCGACATCATTTTACTCGGTCATAGTATGGGAGGGATTCTATCTTCGGAGGTCGTCCTTCAAGCACCACCTCCTCCAGCGAATCGTCCCTTTCGCCATAGGATACTGGGAACAATCAACTTCGATACCCCATTTCTAGGTTTACATCCTGGGGTTGTGGTTAGTGGAATTGGGAGTCTTTTTAGACCCGCGCCCGATCCTCCAGGTTCTGGAAAAGGGTCATTGTCACCCACGGGGCCAGGTTCACCATCGATAAATGGCCCTCTATCTACACCAAGTCTTACAGGCACTCTCTCAGATTCGAGTACCATGTATCAGGGGAGTGATGGGCAAAGTATGACATCGTTAGCTACTCCTCCACCAAATGATCCGTATTATAACGCTCCGTTCCCCAACGATATCAGATTAGCGGAACGAAAAGGATTCAATAATTTCCTACATTTCGTCAATAAGCACGCCGAGGGTGTTGGGGCAAAAGCGAAATTTAGTGGTTTAACTTCTGCAACATCACAATACTTCATGTCCCACTTAGAGTTTGGAGGCTGTCTGGCAGATTATCCTGGCATGATGAATCGATACTCCAAGTTGCGTGCCCTAGAAGATGTTGATGAACTCACTGGGCGAAGCAATCCTGTCAATCAAAACCAGCAATCCCGTAGGAGATTTATTAATTACTACACTGCGAGTACTGGTCGGCTCAAGAAGCCCAAAGAATCTGTTGTTGGAGAATCTCTCAATGACAACGTTGCCGCATCGGAGGCCGGAATGAGTAATCTAAGTCTAGATAATTCAGGAAATCAGTCTCCAATATCAGTTGAGGATACAACTCTGACGAGTGATAATATTGATTTAGCCGATGGCATACATGTGCAGCAGGTTGAGGAACAGATGGAAGAGCTGGGTAATAGTTCAGGAGTTCGGGATGACGCTCCACAATCACCAGAAATGCGACACATCGATTCAATGCCTATCGACGATGATATAATCGAACCTATCGCAGTTTTACCACATGCCGACGAAACAGAAAAAACCAATACTACAACACAAAGAGTACCCACCGAACCTCCACTCCCTCCTATCCCTGATGCGCCGACGGAACCACAACCAATAGACTTGGCTCTTTACACAGATAAAGACTCTCGAAAAATTGCAGAGAAAGAACACAAACGCGTTGTAAAAGCTTACAATCAAGCCTTGAAGGATCGAGAAAGTGCTCTCAAAGATCGCCGCAAGTTGATTGAGAAAAGAGAAAAGAAAGCTCGACAAGAAGAGGAGAAGCAATTGAAGGCTCAAGAGAAGCAGAGCTTGAAAGAAGACAAGGAGGCAGAAAAGCGGCAAGCTAAATTGAATTCCAAATTGCCCAAAGAAAGAGAGAGCGTACAGAAGGCGGAGAAGACGGAGAAGACAGAGAAGCCGAAAAAGGATAAGAAGTTTTGTATGCTACCTCCGGAGTCTGGAGGAAAGAAAGACGTCTGCTGGGTCCGAGTTTATATGGAAGGGGTGGATGAAGTCGGGGCACACTGTGGTCTTTTCTTCCCGGGACCGCAATATGAAAGCTTGGTTGGAAACGTAGGTGAAAGGATTGAGACATGGGTGAAGGAAGATGCTACGAAGAGAGCAGTCCTCTCCAGACCTTAGGTTCCACGATACGACTTCAATATTTATTTCTGATTGATACACGTAACTACATGGGTGAAGACACCCAAATCGACATGGTAACTTTACAGATAGGAAATCCTCAAATTCAAGCAAGGCTTAGTTACACTTGGGCAGAAATATTCTCCTATTTACCGAAAGTTATAGGGTGAAAAGGCCTTTACAGTATGGAATTCTTTATTTAGGGAGCACAGCTTCATCCTATCACAAAATGATTACGGCCCTGACAGATCTTGATAACAATAGAATTATGTCACAGCTAGGTATCGTTGTGCTCCCAGTTAAATGTTGATTAAATATTGATATTGAAAACAATCAAGTTGTAAGTGGTCAGCATGTGATTGGTCGGTCAAAGTAACAAGGATCTTTCATCCTCCCTCTCTTCGAATACTAGTTATTGTTGGCGTCATTCAAAGTTACCCCACACTTCGCCAAGGGACTTTACATCTCGTTTTGACCGCCTTCCAAAGTATATAAAAATACCAACTTACCTTCCTATTCTCTTACTCTCCTCAAGATCTCCTGTGTATATATATTTCAATGCCTCAATTCTCCCTTTCAGATCCCCAACCTTTTGAATAACACTATCACAATGACCACTCAATCTTCCAATCCATATTCGCTCTCGCTTCCTCTCCCACACAACTCTGGCTCGAACTCCCCTCCAGCTACCCAAAATACTTCCACAACAAAGTCCTGGCGCAATAGGTTCAATTCTTTAGCTCCCAGTAACACAGATCCTACATCACATAATACAGGAGAACTGACAGAACATACTGGTCTGCACGCAGCGAATACAAATGCGTTTACGAGAAGCGAGCATATCCCGAAATGGTATAAAGTTAGACTATTCAGAGGCATGGTTAACGATGTGAAGAGGAGAGCACCGTTCTACTGGAGTGACTGGACGGATGCTTGGGATTATAGAGTTGTGCCCGCCACGATTTATATGTATTTTGCGAAGTATGTTGCTGATTCACTTAAGAGGCGGATCTCTCATGTGTTGAGAAGAGAAGTCATGAAGATGAGCATATATCTATATCGGAGCATGGTCGTTAATAAATAGCTAATCATATGACAGTATATTACCCGCACTGGCTTTTTCTTTAGATATGTAAGTCGGTCCTGTCAAATATACTTGAAGAGCTTTCCTGACTACAAATTACAATATAGGTTTACAAAAACGAATATGAGTTATGGAGTCAATGAAGTACTACTTGCTTCGGTCTTAGGTTCAGTAGTCTTTGCAGTATTTGCCGCTCAACCGTTGGTTATTGTAGGAGTTACGGGACCAATCACGGTTTTCAACTAGTATGTTTGATGACATGATGGTGTTCGATGCTGATTTAGGTAGTACTGTTTACGATATCATTGTCCCTACTGGGGCAAACTATTTTGCATTTATGGCATTGATTGGATTGTGAGTAAATGATCCATTCCACTCTTTGTTACATCTGCAAGGACTGACGGAAGCAGATGGTCTCTATTGATGCATTGGATACTCGCCATTACCAATTCCTGCAATGGACTCCGTTATGTCACTCGTTTCTCTTGCGATATTTTTGGATTTTACGTAGCCTTCATCTACGTCCAGAAAGGTATCCAAGTCCTCACTCGTCAAGGAACTGATGAATCATTCTACCTTTCCATCGTCATCGCACTACTCGTTACCATCATTGCATTCTTGTGTGGTGTTATTGGAGACAGTCCATTATTCCAACATTATGTCCGAATCTTTATAAAAGATTACGGTACACCTCTCACCATCATCTTTTTCACTGGCTTTGTACATATTGGTAAGATGAGAGAAGTAGATTTGAGTACACTACCTACAAGCAGAGCCTTCTTTCCAACAACCGATAGAGGATGGTTTGTACATTTTTGGGATGTTAGAGTTTCGGATGTGTTTATTGCTATACCATTTGCTGTTTTACTTACAATCTTGTTTTATTTCGATCATAATGGTGAATGATAACCTTTCCAATTCTGGTACGAATATGCAGCCACTGACTAAGCACAGTGTCTTCTTTGATGGCTCAAGGAACAGAATTCCCCCTCCGCAAGCCTGCCGGGTTTCATTGGGATATCTTCCTCCTTGGCCTAACAACGGGTGTAGCCGGTCTGCTGGGAATTCCTTTCCCAAATGGTCTCATTCCGCAAGCCCCATTTCACACTGAGTCTCTTTGCGTCACCAAGCTTGTGGCAGATACCGACGAATCAGGAGACTCAAAAGGTCATCTTAAATCAGTCACATCCCACGTCGTTGAACAGCGCGTCAGCAATCTAGCCCAAGGTCTCTTAACCCTAGGGACCATGACTGGCCCCCTCTTGATAGTCATTCATCTCATCCCTCAAGGCGTTCTGGCAGGTCTCTTCTTCGTCATGGGCATTCAAGCTCTTCTCGGCAACGGCATAACTTCTAAAATTATTTTCCTTCTCAAGGATTCCTCGCTAACCCCTTCATCCGATCCCTTACGACATCTCCCCCGGAAATCCGCTATCTGGATGTTCGTAGCAATTCAACTTTTTGGCTTTGGTGCCACATTTGCTATCACACAGACAATTGCGGCAGTGGGTTTCCCAGTCATTATTTTGGCACTGATTCCGGTTAGGATATGGGCGCTGCCAAGGTGGTTCACAAAGGAGGAGTTGGGGGTTCTGGATGCGGCAACGGCGAGCCCGTTTACGATGATCAGTGTTGGGGGCAATCATGGAGAAGTGATCGAAGAAGATGGGCTCTCTGCTAGTGCGGATGCTGTTGAGGAAGGTATGTTGGTGGGTGGTACTTCGGAAGAGGATGGCGGAAATGGGAAGAGAGTATTGGAAACGGATGGAGATAGTGATGAGGGACGAGCTGAGCGAGGGGAATTTCAAGCTAGTGGCCCCGGGACGGGAATGACGAGGAGACGGGAGAGTTGGAAAGGGGAAGGGAGGAGTGGTGGATTGGGTGAGGGGATGGAATTGCAGAATCTGGGCATTAGTAGAAGAAGTGTTAGCAAACATCCAGAGTAGAGTGGATATGTCATTTAGGAGGATGTTGAAGAATATATCCATCAGTGGGTAACGAAGAGTTGCAACTGAAGTTGCAAAGCTGGCTATATATTAAAGATATTCTATTGTACAATTGAACGTTTTCGCTAACCCTACAGTAGAGGGTGTAATGATCTCGTCTGCCTGGTAATTTTGACCCTGAAACATGCTATGCTCTCTGAAATACCTAGTTAGCTTCGTCACATTCATTTAACACTAACACGGAGAATAACAGAAGGAATCGTAAGGAAACTGACGTCCTCAAATTTTCTTTCTCTTCCCATCTCAATATCATCTGCATTACTCGTACTCAAGTACATTAGTAAACAAATTCAATAACCAATAATTTAATTACCAATGCCTGCCTGCCTACCTATTCAGTCCCTTCCAATAATATATATATATGGGATTCGGGGTTTTGTTATTCACTTTTCATTTTAGAGTTTCGATTTTGGAGAAGAAGAGTATGCAATTTTTTGGTAGAAGTGGGAGAGTAGAAGGAGGGTCCCATAGTGAATAGGGGTTACAATCTTATAGAAATAGTTGTAGGTCTCGGTAACACTGAGGGCGGTGAGATAATGGGAAATGTAGACTCTGGCGGTATAACATTTATCCGGCAGCATTTATCAAACCCTTACTTTTCAAGTGCTTTTATGCTTTGTCACTCTCACACTATTACAGTAACAGTAACAGTAACTTATCACGTCACACACCCACCACTGCAACAACCAAAACGCCGGATGATCCAGCTCTTGAGTCTTGCCTTCTCAAGGTCAACCTTTGTGCTTTGTTGTGAATGCCCTTCTATATCTATGTCGAACTAGGATTGCAATAATACATGGCGCTCAAGGATTCACTACACTGTCCTAGGGTTCTAGTATGTTTTTGAACCTACCCAGGCAACCTCCAACAGAAACATCCAAGATATGTGTTTTGCTCAGTCTCAAATATGAGGTTTCTTTTACCTCTCTTACTTCTAGCCTTAACCCCTAACTTCACATGGTAGCCATTTAAAGAGCCAATTGACTTATTGATTATGGAACTACACAATGGCCTGGATCCTGATTCTTACCACTAGTACCAAACCATCACAGTGCCAACTATCATGATACCAAGTTCTCAGTCAGTTCTGGGTAGAGCCAAATGAAAAGCTTCAAAATCCACTTATTTGGATTCTGGATGTCGATACCCACTTATTGTTGCCGCCTCCCAAGCCACCTGTCTTAGAGATGTATTTCCTAGTAGTAGGAAAACTTGTACCTCCGCATTGGTCTCACGCGCGAACCAATTCTTCAGATCAATTGCCACCAATGAATCAATGCCGTACGCATGCACCGGTTTGTCCGCATCCACATCATCAACATCTAGACCAAGCACTTGCGCCATCTTGGCTACAAACCATTCGGTGATCATGGCGCTGGCTTGTTTGTCTGATTTTGTGCGCCGGAGAATACCTGCACGATCCTTTTCGAGTCTTTTTTCTGCACTGGTATCCGCCGATTGATTATCTCCAGGAGGCAATCCTATTCGGAAGAGTTGGCGGAACAACGGCCTGTGGATTGCATGATGTAAATCGATACCTTTAGCCAACACAGCCGCCGGAGTTTCGAGACCAACGAGAACTTGAGCTTGTTCATGGGTCAGTAAAGGTAATGCTGGGTCGCAGTAATACTCGAGCAAGGCAAGCAATTCATTCTGGCTAATATCCATAAGGTGACCAAGGCGACGCATACTAGCAAGAAGAGCCTCATTTTCCGCGACAACCCCTTCTGCTACCATCAATCCCAAATCGATCGAAACAGCCTGTTCGCCATGAGAAATTCTATGGTGGGCTAGCGCATCCTTAAAAGTATTCCCTGCGGCGTAGTTGGCCTGCGCACGCCCGCCTACAATACCGTTGAGAGATGCAACAAGGACAAAAAAGTCAAGCCCAGTAGGAAGTGTGGCGTGCAAATTCCATGAGCCGGTTGCTTTTGAACTCGTCCCAATCATCCAATCGTCATATGTCATGTTAGGAAAGAGGTTGTCCTAAGGTGATCGTGTTAGATCAAAGTCGTGCAATCAACATTGTAAAGGGAGCAAACAAACCTTTAGAGCAACTGTGGCTTGTATACAACCTCTGATTGGGGGAATATGATCTTTGAGTGCTTCTATCACCTGTTTTAGCTTGCTCAAATTACTTATATCCACGACCGGTGCAGCGACAAATACTCTCTGCGAGATAAGCTCTGCGACGAGATCTTTTGCGGCGGTTCCTTGCGCACCTGAGCGTGATAGTAGAACCAGATGTCGCGCGCCACGGCTGACCATCCATCGTGCGAAACTTCTCCCAAGACCACCAAACCCCCCAGCTATTATATATGACGCGTCTGAGCTAAATTTATACTTCGGTCTGTTCTTTACGTTGGCCTAAATTGCGATTGTTAGCTGATTTAAGAAGTTCAAAAAGGCTCAAAAACACACCATTATACTTGTAAGGGGGTTTATCTCAATGATTCTTTTCCCCATCTCCTCGGGATCATGAAAGTGTCGAAAAGCACTCTCTACTTTATCGACATTAAAGACAAGGAGTGGTTGAGGGGGCTTCAGAGCCAGTTCAAAAGCCGTTTTAATCGCTCGCTGGAATGTTGCATGTACCAGTCGAGAGTTCTCCTCTAACGCGTTGATCAAGTTCACTGATGCCCTTGAGATATTCTCAAATGTCCTTCGTTTTCCTAGCAGCGATGGTCTTTGTGAAGGTTCCATGGAATTTGATAAGCCATTATCGATTAAACGACCAAATGGCGCAAGACATCTGGAGAAATCGAAAGAAATGCCATGGCTTCCTTCCTCCAACGGCCCAACGATGATATCGGCACCTTTACCGTTTGTCCTGCGATAAATTTTGTTCAGAATGGAACTATCATTGATATCAAATATATCATTCTCGGAGATCATATATTCCTCACGAAGAAGTTTTCGGCTCGAACTTGAAGAGACCGTAACCAAGACCTTTGCGCCCAATCTTTTTGCAAATTGTACTGTCATCTGACCTATGCAACTTGAAGCTCGATGAATCAAAATTATTTCGTCTTCTTCGATCCTTCCAACTTCAATGAGCGCTCGGTAGGACAACCATACCGCTGTCGGCATCGAGGCAGCTTCAGCAAAGCTCATATGCTCGGGAACAATAGCGATGGCTGATTTTGTGGTACGAATAACAGAACTAGCCGCCGAAGTAGCAAGAACACAGACACGATCACCAACTTTGTGACCTGGTTCGCTCCCGGTGGCCACAAGAACGCCAGCACATTCAGTACCAAACCCTACTTCATTTAACTGTCCGCTCGCGAGTAAATGGTCACGGAATGTCAGACCAATTGCACGGACTTGTATCAGGACTTCATTCTTGTTGAGGAACGCTGCGTCGAAGCATTCTTTGTCACTTGTTCTCAATCCATTCAAGTGTTTCCAGATGTCCCGGTGACCCCAAATGGAGAGAGACAGGAGGGCCTTTCTCAAAGTTGCAGTTGAGCATCTGCCGAGGTAAGATTACTTGAGCTATCGTCCTATCCATTTCCACGTTCTCAGAGACTCGGCAAATATGAATCTTCCCATCGGTAACAACATAGTTATTTTCCATATTTTCCACTGATGAATCAATGGTGCGTTGTAAGAGCTCGGAGATAAGGCTTGCAGTCTGCTCTCTCCGGTCGTTTTGATCTAAGGAAACAGTCACGAATTTGCGGGTCGAGTCCTCGGACATCAATGTACGGCCTAGGCCAACAGCAAGGTGGTGTTGTGGCTCTACTGCGTCAAGCAAATGTGCCCGAGTGGCCCATATAGTCTGTCTTGTTTGTATCAAGACTGACTGCAACGCGTTGTAATCAAATTCCAAGGTGCCGTCAAGAAAGGCGGCATCTATTTCTGTGAGGAAGATAATTACTGAAGTCGCTGTCATTTCTGTGTCGATCAGCTCCTGCAACGTGGCTATTCCACATGACAATCCTTTGATCTCGGAGACTTTCGATGCTAGGAGCTTTGCCAAGACTTGTTGTTCCTCCACTTCACTCTTTACGATGATGCTAATGTGCATGGATGGCTTGGTTGTTTCTCTTGCTGCTGAGCCTGTCGCCCTCGAAATTATAATACTGCTATATCGAGTCGATAGTTCCTCTTGGCCTGGGATCTCGACGTCGACTCCCGAGAAGCCAGCCCGCTTCAACCATTGATCCCATTGTGAAACGGTCAAACATGGGCTATACAAAGATCTTTGTTCGTAGTTTAACGGATTCCACCACCCTTTCAAAAGCCCGAAAGCAAAACCAATAGGTACAGCTTCTGGTAAAGTTGTTTCAAACAAAAGCAGTCTGCCATCAGGTTTGAGTAATTTTCTTATATTGCGTAGTGACTGGTCAAGGTTGTCAGTCGCGTGAAGAACATGGGATGCAACCACTAAATCATATGTCTCAACCTCGAATGATTGCTGCATTGGATTCTTGGAGATATCACAAACTTTAAAGCGCATTTGATCGGCATATTTGAAGAACTTGAGTTGTGCCTGGCTGAAGAAACCAGGTGAGATATCTGTGTAATCATAAGTCGACCATTTCTTCACACCACCACTACTCATGGCGTCCAGTAGTCGCAATGTTTGGCCGCCGGTGCCAGCGCCAACCTCAAGTATCTTCATGGACGGATTCATGAAAGACAAAAGATCAATATACTGCGATGCGGGATACGCGTGATGGTCGTTCGCAAGCATTTTTTCGTAATATCTGTCTGCTAATCCATCATGGAACATCAATGCAAGAGGGTCAACCTCAGCAGAAAGCATCATCTTGAGATTTTTGCCGATTTGCATGAAAAAGTAGCCATCAACTCCCTCATTCTCGATCTCAGAAACTAGTCGTTCTCGAGCATCTCTATCATCCAGAAACTGCCGGACTGACTCTTGTACAACCAATGACTGGTTACCTTGAAGTTCTGCTTGTTGGTACCTCAACCAATTAGTATAAGCACTCAAGTGCTCTGATAACACGATTGCGGGATGCTCGTCTAAGAACACTATCGCTTCCAGTATGAAACAAAAAATCGCAACGACAAGAGATTGGTATTTTTCGACGGCATCGACTTCTTGCTTCGGTCTGTACTGAACACAGTAGAGAGATATCTGCTCACTTGTCATTGTGTGAAGATCAGGTTTCCAGACGAGTTTTGTACAAAGAAAGCGGGGGGTCAAAGTGTGGCCAATCTTAGCAGGCTGGCTGCTGCTGATGAAGGTTGTTTGAAGTCCGTCTAGAAAAATGAGTGGGATGTGTGAGCCTATCGCCGTCGCTAGCACATCAGCAGATCCTCCACGATAGCCTTTAAATGAACATCTCGCTGCAATGCTGAGTCTCCCCTCATTCAATAAATTTCCGCTGCTGCAATCGATCCAGATGCTAGAGACATGTACAGGGACCATAGTAGGTAATGATTCTCGATCTTGGGCCATTAATGCTTGCTGTAAAGGCTGCGCTAGACCGTCCAGTGTGGCAGGATGGACTAGATAGGAATTCGCAAAACATTTAGTCGATTTCTGCTTCCAACTCTCTGTGTTGACATGCGCCACAGCTTCTCCGTCAATGCCAATGCGCAAGTGTTCAAGGTTTTTGAATGCTGGCCCATAGCGAACTGCTATCTCCTCAGGAACATCGTATGGGTTACGATCAGGACCATCGCATACGCGATTTACCGCAGCAATCCAATCCTCGGTCGTCTCGCCACGTTTCCAGATAGCCGATGAAATTACCATATCTCGATCTTTGCTGTCGAAGACAACGCGAATAAACCCACTACAGCATTCAATATAAGAGTCATTCTCCAAAACGAAAAGGCGAAATTGTGACCACATGGAAAGATCGGAAGATTGCGACGGTCGGAACAAAGTAAGTTGAGTTTCTATCTTCTCAACATTATGTGGGAAAGCGATGGCATGAGAAAAATTCGCGTTCTGAATGCTTATTCCAAGTAGCGAACTGGAATCTCCAAGAAGCTCTCTAACACCTTCGATGGCCATTACAATCATTCCTGAGGCAGGAAAGACAATTTGCCCAGCTGCTTGTGTGGTTGTTTGTTCGCCAGAGTTAGAAGTCTAGCAAAGGCCTCGGCAAATTCGACGAGTGATGTTAGATTCTTGGCCCAGTATTTGGCTGAGGCAAGGCAAGGCTGGTTGCGGCCACTATATCGCCAGTTACAGAAGAAATCATCGGTACAAGTTTTGGGCCTGGTATTGCTTTGATCTCCCCGATGGATTCAATATAGTCTTTTTCTATCGCCTTCATGAAGCGAGAATGATATGCCATGGGAACACGCAAAATACGGGCAAAAATCGCCTTCTTTTTCAGCCAGTTCTCAAGTGTTGACAGTTGATGCAAGGCGCCTGTCAATGTAATACTCTGGGGGCTGTTCACACAGCCAATTGCGACATCCAGCTCTCCGTAAGTACTTTGTAGCTGCTCGAGATAGGGAACTATACTCTCTTTCGGGAGACCGACTGCCATCATTGTTAGACCTTCTGCTTTTTCCGCAAGCTGGGAAGATAGCCGGCCTCGATGATATGCAATTTTGACGGCATATTGTTGTGATAAAGCACCAGCAGCATATGCCGCACCAATTTCTCCTGAAGAATGACCTAAAACCAACGAAGGGACAATTTGAAAGCTCTTTAGTAAATCCACAATAGCTAACTGGAGACATGTAGTCAAAGGTTGACTATAATCCGGTCTGTCGATATCAAGTGTGCTGTTGACGGCAGTGACTTCATACAGAGACCACTGACACCCTAAGTGCTTTAAGTATTCATCAGATCGGGTAAGGTTGTTCCGAAAGCTGTGGTAACAGAAAAGCTCGCGACCCATACAAAGATAATGAGCTCCTTGTCCCGTGAAAACGAATGCTATGCCCCTGCGGATAGTAGAGGCCTTTACTGGCGCGGACGTAGTCACATCTAGCGTTTTGTCGGCTACCATGAAGCTTCGCCACGGGAATTCGCTTCTTTTGACAGCAGTGGTATATGCTAAGTCTTCTAGTTGAGGTGATTGGTTCCTGACATACTGTTCATATGCCTTGGATAAATGTTGGGCTCCCTGCTAGTCTGCAGCTAACCAGGTAATCAACTTCAGTGGATCTAAGATTTCGTTGTTACCGCCATAGCTACTTGACATATATGAAACGCTTCTTTGTCCGTTCGAGCCGCTGTGATGGTCATTTCCGCGTATTGAAGGTGTCGTTCGGTGGAAACCAATGACATCATTTTGTTTGAAATAACTGTACGCATCGTCCAGAATCGCAACCGCATTTGTCCTACCAAAACCAAAGGAATTAACCTATAAAGTTAGAATTTTGTTCTCGGGGTAAGGTTTCAGCGAGTTACACATTTACTTACACAGGCTCGTCGGACAGCTGAGGCTGGCCAGGGTATGACCTCCGTCGGTAACTAGCCATTTGGTAAGTAATAGTAAACACTTTTGACAAACAATAACACAATACTTACGTTTAAGTGCAGTTCTTCCGCTTGAAGTTTTCCATTCAACAACTCGAAGTCTGCAATAGGTGGGATGATACCTTTCTCGAGCACCAGAATTGCTTTGATAATTCCAGCTAAACCACTACAGCCTTCCAGATGACCAATATTGGCTTTTATAGCGCCAATATACAGCAGGTCGACTTTTCCACGGCACACTCGAAAGGCTTGTCCGATGGCATTACCTTCTACCGGATCTCCTACCGGCGTACCGGTTGCATGTGCCTCGAAGAATCGCGTAGGCTCTATATCGATATCTCCATGGCGATACGTCTGTCTGATGAGATCAATTTGTGCCTCTTGACTTGGCTGCGTTATTCCCGGTGTCCGCCGTCTTGATTCGATCCTGTATTGCGTATCACGGCACGAACAGTATCACCATCTCGTATAGCACAACTGAGTCTCTTAAGCACAATAACCGCGATTCCCTCACCTCGCGCGTAGCCATTGGCTTTTTCGTCGAAGCTCCAACAGCGACTATCTTCCGACAAGAAATTGAAATCAGACATTATTTTCATAAAGTTTGGGTGATAAACAAGATTTGCTCCTCCCACAATAGCCTACAACTATTGTTAGCTAAGAATAGCAGATCATTTTGATAATTTGGATGCAGGTAAAGTTACCATCTCTGAGCCATTTGTGCGAAGATCATTACAGGCAAGATGCAATGCGATCAGACTACTGGAGCACGCAGAATCTAGGTTCATTGACGTTCCTTTCAAGTTGAAAAACCAACTGAGACGATTTGCCAACATGGAAGGTGCTATCCCCATGGCTGCATGTCTCTGCTCGGCATCGTAGTCTTGTTGTAGAAGACTGAGGTAGTCATTCGTGAAGCACCCGGTGTAGACGGAAGTGTTCGAACCAGAACATTTGCTGATGGGAACCCCCGCTGTGGCCAATTAGTTTGTAGTAGTTGCATATTGACTTTTTGGAGAGACTCACAGTCTTCAAGGGCATGATATGTCGTCTCAAGAAGCCGTGGATGTTGAGGATCCATGCATCCAGCTTCATCCGGAGTAATTGAGAAAAATGGCGCGTCAAAGGCCCCTAAATCTTCTTCGATGAAATGACCTCCTCGAAGGGGTATCTGGGTGTAATGTTTCTTTAGCATTTGTAAGATAATTACATTGGGTCAAAGGTGTCTCACAGTACTGGGTCGATTCTCGTCTGGATGGTAGAAAGCATCGATGTTTAGTCGATCAGACGGGAATTCGGTACTTGCTGAACGTCCCTCCACAATCATATCCCAAAAGCTTTGTTCTGAAGTGGCCCCTTGAGGAAATTCGAAAGCCAAGCCAATGATGGCGATCGGTTCGTTATGATATTTTGTGGTAGTTGGGACATTCATCGTGGATCACCTGGATTGTTTCTAATGCTTGATTTTGGTTTAATCTTTCGACTTAACTCTTTTCATGTAATTTTCAGAGCGATTGGTCTTATATGAGTAACTCAACAGTCCCATCGCCAACGAGGCTGTGGGGGTAAACATGCTGACTGGATCGGCCTCCTGAACTGGTCCCAAGTTTCAATGAATTGAAGCTGTCGCAAGGCTATCACGGAATACTTCACTTTTGTCTTGTATCTGATATCACCACCCATGATCTGGGTATACTTCTACATAATGTGTCTTAATTCAAACCAGGAAGTGTTATAATTGCCTCTTCGAGGCACTGCCTTAGATATGGAAATATTTTTAATATCAGACTTAATCAATTGTCAAAATAATTAATCAGGCATGCTTCGTCAGCCCCGAGTCCATGCAATGCCAAGCGAGGGATACCATTTATTTTGTCCCCCTAGGACGGACCCCACCCCCCTGTGATGATATGCATGGTTTGCATGGAAAATTGCGAATCACGAATACACGACAGATGTGGGCTGTTTGCTTGGAGATCGTGATGAATTGATTTCATGTCGCCACGCAGATTGACCTAACTATTCCCTGTATTCATAAAGGGTCACAACAGAACCCTTGGAAATTAGTGCAGGATAAGGAATTGAAAAAGCCAACGCATGTGTTTATTGGATCATATCAATTTTGCTTACATGCATAGTGACAGTAGACGGCGCGTATCCCGGGGACAGACAGATGTCTGCGCTTCGTTTCAACGTTTCGAGAATACGGCGCAGAATTGATGGAAATCTGCATACCCGCATGACGGGGCTCATCAAGTCAGTTGATCATCACGAGGTGGCTTCTTTTGCCAACTCCAATCCTGTTCAAGGATAGAAAATTCATTGTGAAAATAATGCACCAGGCTACGATCTTGGCACCCGTATGTGAATAGAAATGACTCCAAAATCTAGTGATGATTCAGTTCGAAGAAAATCTAATTGGAAAGTTACAAAAGTGACCCTAATTGTGACCAAGGCGAGCAAACATCTCCTTGGCAATAGTAACCAACTCAGCAACCTCTTGTGCTTTAGACGGAAACCCATGCTTTGCTCCATGGAGGACTTCAATCCGGGTTTTCTCTGAACACATGCATATCAGTTCTTCACTCTGCCCCGGGTATTCTTCGTCTTGCGGGCTCCATGCATGTACAGTAGGAATATCTATCGTTGGCCACACCGCGGCAGGGCTAGCTTCAACTTGACTTGCGACCAGCCAGCCCATTTTCCCCTTAGCTAGCTCATTGCGGTCTACAGGCAAAGTTCCGCAGACAAAAACTGCGCTGCGAATCATCCTTCGTGCGCAGGCATGTGTATGGCTGTCTTCCAAATCCCCTTTGGGTCGCAAAAGAAGTGTGGCCGCTAGAGCGGTTCCCATCGAGAACCCAAGGATACTGTCAAATGGACCATTCTCTATTATATAAGCAGCCAGATCATCAACAGCGGTGATTGAGCCGAGAGCTGTCCCATCAGAATAGGAATAGCAAACTTGCTGTGGGCCAAAAGTCTCAACAATCCCTGGTGCTGCGGGCCACAGATGCCCACCATCGACAAAATCGTATTGATACCCATCGCCGAGGTAGTAGCGGAATGAGGCTTCTTTTGTTAGTCATAGGGAACTAGATAGTCTTGCTCCAAGCGTGGATGGTGTGAAGAGTCTACCTGTCTGGGTTTCAAATATCTGTATTGAAACACCGCAAAAGGCGGTTGTCGTTAGCATACAGACAAAGAGATACTGGATAACATAGAGGAGTCGGCTTGAGGAGTAACATACATCACTATTCGTTCCAATGCCATGTAGACATAATATCTTGAGGTCTCGGCCTGATGTGATTAGTGTTTCTTTGATAGACATCTTAGAAAAAGCCCATTCGAATAAGTTTTAAGGAGCAATCTTCTAGATTGTAGTCAAAAAATAATTTAAGAATGACAGTTTGACTTTATAGATATTCTTAATGTAACAGAATAATCAGTTACTACCTAGTACTCTTTTCTGAACTACTCAGCGGGGTTCTAAAATAAATATACGCAAAAATTCAAATAACTTGCTACCACTAGCTTACTCGAGTAGTTCTTTATATACTCTTATGAAATTTTAAATAACTAGTTTTGTATTATTAAATAATCAATCTATAAAGTTTTATTCAAATCTATTGCGATTTGTAATAGTTATAATTAATTCAATTTATATAATATTAATAATTTAAGTTTAATTTAAGTTTAATTTTTTTAAAGATTATTAAATACTTATATAGCTTTTTTTAAATTCATTTCTATATTATTATTGTAAGAACCAAAAGTTTATATTGAATTATAGATCAAGTATGATTAAATAATGAATCACGTAAACTGAATATTATATAGTGAGTTTAATATTTATTGATTAACTTAAAGAATATTAAAGGAAAGAGCTTTGGAAGAAGCTATATACAT